CGCACTACTTTTTGCCGATTTTACCCCCCTTATACTACTCCCCAGGTACATAATGTTGATACTGTCGTGTCCGTTGTAGTGTCCTCTATCTGTTGGCATCATCGGTAATATGCATCGCGGACGTATTTTGCCGCAATACGGCCAGCAATAGATTTTTTGTAGCGCGCGCACTACTTTTTGCCGATTTTACCCCCCTTATACTACTCCCCAGGTACTTAATGTTGATACTGTCGTGTCCGTTAAAGTGTCCTCTATCTGTTGGCATAATCGGTAATATGCATCGCGGACGTATTTTGCCGCAATACGGCCAGCAATAGATTTTTTGTAGCGCGCGCACTACTTTTTGCCGATTTTACCCCCCTTATACTACTCCCCAGGTACATAATGTTGATACTGTCGTGTCCGTTAAAGTATCCTCTATCTGTTGGCATATTCGGTAATATGCATCGCGGACGTATTTTGCCGCAATACGGCCAGCAATAGATTTTTTGTAGCGCGCGCACTACTTTTTGCCGATTTTACCCCCCTTATACTACTCCCCAGGTACATAATGTTGATACTGTCGTGTCCGTTAAAGTGTCCTCTATCTGTTGGCATCATCGGTAATATGCATCGCGGACGTATTTTGCCGCAATACGGCCAGCAATAGATTTTTTGTAGCGCGCGCACTACTTTTTGCCGATTTTACCCCCCTTATACTACTCCCCAGGTACATAATGTTGATACTGTCGTGTCCGTTAAAGTGTCCTCTATCTTTTGGCATCATCGGTAATACGCATCGCGGACGTATTTTGCCGCAAAGCGGCCAGCAATAGGTTTTTTGTAGCGCGCGCACTACTTTTTGGCGATTTTACCCCCCTTATACTACTCCCCAGGTACATAATGTTGATACTGTCGTGTCCGTTAAAGTGTCCTCTATCTGTTGGCATCATCGGTAATATGCATCGCGGACGTATTTTGCCGCAAAACGGCCAGCAATAGATTTTTTGCGGCGCGCGCACTACTTATTGCCAAGTTATTGCCAGGTTCACACAAGTTTTTTTGATGCCATGAAGGCTGCACAAAACTTAAATACTTATTAAGTCATGTCATGTACGTCTACTGAAAGGTATGTTTGTTTGACAATTATATTTTGCATGGTTTGCTGTGTGAAGATTTTGACAGAAGTGCTGTTGTTTGGTTTGCAGTGGATTATTTTATTATTTTGTATGTTTTATTTATTTTTCAGGAAAAGACTGAAATATTATTTTTAGATATTTATTTTATGTAAGACAAAGCCTATTGTAATCAACTTAATGGCCGAAATAAATCTTGAATCTTGAATCTACTAATAGGCTAATTTAATTCTACTCTTCTAGTCTGTTATTTTGGACTTACCTTTCACATAGGCCTAGTAATTTTCTGGAATGGTTGAACAAACAAATAATAACAATTATTTACAAACCCCTAGCCTACTAGCCTACACAAACTCAATAGCTAACAGCTAACCTTACTTTATTCAGACAGCCGAGAACTACGACGGCGCTGAAGGGCCACCAACTATAAAAAAATATTTTTCTTAATCTCTGAGAAAAAACTTAGAATTCTGAGTTTAAAGTCAGAATATAACAAGTGGGCGTTCCACTCTGAGATTAAAGTCAGAATTCAACTAGTGGGCGTTCCCCTCTGAGATTAAAGTCAGAATTTAACAAGTGGGCGTTCCTCTCTGTGAAAGGAGTTAGAATTCTGAGATTAAAGTCAGAATTGAATTGTGGGCGTTCCTCTCTGGGAAAAAAGTCAGAATATAACTAGTGGGCATTCAACTCTTAAGTCAGAATTGAACTGTGGGCGTTCCTCTCTTATTGCAACGATATTATATCTGCATATCGGTGCTATCATCCCTACTACCTTAGACAAAAGAAATAATATAAATATCCTTTCTGTTGTCTATTCTACTGTGTTCTTCTACTTGCAACGTTGCCAATTCTACCAGGCCGCGGCCTGGAGTTAAAGGTGGCCATGAGAAGAGTACAGTAGAGTATAGTAGCACGGCCGTCTTGGTGGCCGTGGTAGTAGAGACTAGATAAGTCCAATTCTTACGTTAATCTCAGAGATGAACGACCACAATTCAATTCTGACTTTAATCTCAGAATTCTAACTCCTTTCACAGAGGCGAACGCCCACTTGTTAAATTCTGACTTTAATCTCAGAGTGGAACGCCCACTTGTTATATTCTGACTTTAAACTCAGAATTCTAAGTTTTTTCTCAGAGATTAAGAAAAATATTTTTTTATAGTTGGTGGCCCTTCAGCGCCGTCGTAGAGAACCGACAACAAAACAAACAAACAAGCAAAACACACAAAACTGACAAAACCCAACTTGCTTGATGAGAAGTCAGTCAGAAAACGGAGACGAAGGGAGAAGGGAAGGACGAAGACGAAACATGAAACAAGCAAACAAGCGAAGGAAGTTAGAACAGAAGACGGAACGGAAGAACGAAACGGAACGAAACTGAACTGAACGACTGAACTGACGGGAGAACAGAAATGAAACTATAATGACACAGATACGATATAAATATAAATATATAGATACGATATAAATTTTTTTTTTTTTTTTTCATGGCAACGGGCAAAATTACTATTTTTACTATAAATTACTTGCATAACAGTTTGTGGATTAATAATCAATCAAGGCGGCTTCGCTCACCTTAATTTGTTATCTAGGACTCGTCAAATTGTACACACCACGAATACCATGGCCACCTTTAACTCCAGGGGCCCATTTCATAATAAAGTACAAACGAATATTATTAGTAAATCAGCTGCTCGCCCAATGCAAATCTAATGGAAATTACAAGTTACAAGTTGTAACTTGTAACTTGTAGTTTATTATGAAATGGGCCCCAGGCCGCGGCCTCCGAAGTGACAACAACAACGCCGCAAGTGGTGTTGTAACAGCTGTTTTGTTTGGAAGCAGCTAATGGTATTTGTGTATTTACGAAAGATTGGTTACTGGACTATGACAATATTGACTCCACTAAAATATACAGATATAGATTTTTAATTAATATTGTTTCGGTTTTCATTTCTGTATGTTTTATTTTAAACATTTTAATATATTAATGTTTATAGATTTAAATTTAAATCAATAAAGTGTAAATTAATGAGCCTGTCAGCCAAGTTATCTTATGGGACGTCTGTCACTAAACAGCCCTACTTGCGACGTTGCCAATTCTACCAGGCCGCGGCTGGAGTTAAAGGCGGCCGTGCGAATACACTGTTACACATACATACACGAACATAAAAACCCGTCCTTACATTTATTCCGACGTTTTACGGGACCAAAACAACGTCCCACTTTCTCAGGGAATTTAAACTTTATTTGTCTCCTCTCGCGTACAGTTCGGCCAAAGTTTCTGTGCGTGCAACCAGATCTGGTTGTGTTTTATTTGCGAGGGGTTTGGTCGGGGTACTTTTGTGAAAACATTTTGCCTTGCTTCTCACTCTCACTTACCCCACGGCCAACTTTAACTCCAGGCCGTGGCCTCGTAGAAATGGCAACTTTGCAAGTGGTATTGTCTAGCGCCAGACGTCCCATAAGATAATATGGCAGACAGGTGAAACCAGCTCATTAATTCGCCTATTATTCATTTAAATTTATGAACATAAATTTAATAAAAGATTGATAATAAAACATATATAATTTAAAACCAAAACAATATTTAAATTAAAAATCTATTTTTGTATATTTTAAGTGAAGTCAATATTTTCATATCCCAGTAACCATGATTTCATATTACTAAAAAATACACAAATACCATTAGCTGCCTCCAAAACAAAACAGCTGTTACAACCCTACTCGCGAGTTGCGACGTTGCCACTTCGAAGGCTGCGGTCTAGAGTCCGTGCGCAGTGCGCACAGAAGTACTGACAGTGTATTATGGCCTATTCCATAGTCATCTGAACTACGGTTTGCAGTTGTGGGGTCATGCACCTGGTTCTAGGAGGTCCTTCAAACTCCAGAAGAAGGCAATCAGAATTCTTACTTCTAGCAAAGCTGACGCCCACTGTAGACCTCTTTTCATGCGTCTGGGAGTTATGACATTGTTCAGCCAGTACGTCTTAAACAGTGTTGTATACATAAAGAAAAACTTGAATGATTTTAGCTCAAGGGGTGACCTTCATAGTTGCAATACTCGCAACCGTGGCCAACTTGACCTTCCATCCCATCGGCTCAGTAAGACTGCAAACAGTTTCCCCACTATGGCCATAAAGCTGTATAATAGCCTCAGTGTTGAGATCAGAGGCCTGCCAGTGAAAGCGTTCGTAGCGCACATGTCTAAGGAGTTGAAGACTAGGCCCCTTTACTCCATCAGGGAATTTTTTGAAACCCCTGACTCAGTTTGGACATCATGATCCACCGCCTTGTATATAGTGTATATAGACAGAGTTTTAAAATTTTAATTTTTTCATTTAACGCAATCTATCCAGCTATGGCTGGGCAACGATGAAGAACCGGTAAAGGTACTGTACGCAAGCCGAACGCCTAACCACGAGTGGTAAAAATTAATCATAAAAATCCGTTAGTCATCAATTCTCAAGACAACCGGGAGCACAGTGGTACTATTTCTATCCTTGAAAAAGCATGGGTTAAGTTAAAAACTAGAATAGCGTTTGAAATAAACTATAGATTGATTAATGGTTCGTCTTCTAAAGCTTTAGAAAGTGACGTATACCCTATCAAACTACCTGCCACTATTGTATTTTCTCTGTTTTCTATCTACCATCTTTCTTGTATTGGGTCAATGGCTTAGTTTAGTTAGAATATTGAAAAATATTAACGTTACCCAACACCAACACCTTATGAAACCCCAGGACAAATTTATTCTACGGCCCCAACATAAATTGAAGTAATGTGGCTACATGGTAGTTTAACTAAACTAGCGATTTGTAAGCAAACTAGAAAAGAAAAGAAAAACAAGAAGATATGAATAAAAAAGATTAAAGATTGAGGTTAGGTTGAGAGATACAAACAAACCCAAGTACCCAAGCCATAACTGAACTGGGAAGTAGGCATATAATTTTTGTCGATACACTTAAAATAATAAATAACTCCCTTCTATAAACATGAATGCACCTCCAACATTTGAATCATTTCTGTTATTTGAAGGAGAAAAAAAGTAAGTAGACTGGGTCTATAAAATGTTTAGGCATAGTCTATCCTTATCCTATTCACTTGAGATAGCTCTAAGCAAAATTAGCTCTTATAACTAATCAATTCACCATAGGTTGGCCTTATTGAGACATACAAATTTAAATGCATCTGTAATTGAAGGTAATTAATTAATTGAAGAAATATTTTAGCTGTGTTGGTGAGGGTCTGCCAATAAAAGCTAGGCAACTTAGGTGGCCTACTTACGATTTGGTTCTGAGAAAATTCCTCCTAGCCTAATTTGTTGTCAACAGATCATTTTCTAGATTCATAGCAAAATTATTAGGCCCATTTTAAAAGTTTAAGTAGCCTAAGTTAGGTTACAATACCTTCAAACTCAAATAGAGACAGCACCAGATTTAGATTTTATGCGCTCATAGGCCCAACTGTCCCCCCCCCCCCCTTTATAGCATCATGGAATTTATACCTCAGAATGTCCTTAATAGATTAAAGTAGATATCTATTGTTAAATAAAATAAAAGGATTTATTTTATACGCAGAGGATACACGTCCGGTAACCGAACGTGGATTATCCCTCCAAGTGTCCATAGTATTGGTATTAATGTCCGCCGATTTGCGGAATCGCAGGGTTTTATGGATCTTAAAAATGTAATGTAATGTATCTTAGAAACTTAAAAACAATGTAAAGTAGGCCTAATGTTTTATATATCATTTTGTTTGGGAAATTATGGGCTTCAATGTAATATAGCCTATAAAACATTACAAAAAAATTTTCAACAATTTTTGTGGGGTTAACATTTCTCAACAATTATAAAATAAATGAAAAAATGTATGTTTGCGCTCAATAAATGTTTATAATTATTTATAAGTCTACAAATATTTTAAAATAGCCACTTTGTTTTAAATTTAATAAGGATTACAAAAATATAATAATATAAGGAAGTAACTTAAGTTAAATTTGCAAATAAATAAGTTATGGGTGAAAAACAGATTTCGTACACTTAGCGTTAGCTAAGAATGCATAGCCTTAGAACCATAACTAGGAATCTGGCCGATAATTTACATCAATATCACTACCTACTTCTTCATGATCATCAACCAGCCCTTCAAAATCAATTAAATCTTCTTATAATGCACCACGTAGCCTATATCACTACTTTTTATTTTTAACACTAAAACAATGATAAACGTAATAAAACACATCAGTCATCGGTGCGAGGTTAACCAAGTTGTTTACAAATACGCACGTCAGCTGTCTGCTACGATATTTTCGGAACTAAAATGAAAAGCGTCTAGAAAGACATCAGGAGAAAGCTTAGAATCTGCCGAAAACAACGATACCAATCTCGATCCAGTTCAATCTGATTCAGTCAGTCCCAGAGCCTTCGCCGTAAACAATGTTTGTGTGTCGCAAAAGCGACACATAACACCACGGCGGGTGTGTTGTGCGTCGATTACGCGCTGCTTAACACTGCGTCCAGCAGTGACGTCACCAGGTTGTTGGGGCCCGGAACACCATTACCACATCTACAATATATACAGCTATCGGTGTTAGTGGTGTAGTTGATAGAGTACTCGGCTGGTGTACGAGAGAGTCTAAATCCCAACGGTGACAATAACTTTTTGTTAAAGATATTGCTTAGAATGCCATTTCTTCTTAACTGTACCGGTACACCTTTTGTTAGATTTTATAATTTTATTTCATGAATAAAATGTAACTAGTTTCCTAAAAAAATGATTGTCAAAGCAATTTGCGCTTCTATGCCTTGGCCTACATAACCTATTGGCAAATTCAGCCTGATAAGAGAGTGTTCTGAGGCTAAGTACAGTGGAATGAAGACCACATTTTAATTTTAGGTTTACAGTCATGCAACTATTAAAAAGCCATGTGTTTTTTGTTTTACAGAATTATAAAAGAACTCGACACCAAAGTACCCAACGCTGCAATTTTTACTGTCAACAAAGAGGATCACACCCTGGGGAATATGATCAGAAAGTAAGTTTTTGTATTAACAGACTCAACATATTTAATTAAGGCCATTTAAATTAGATGTAGGCTATACCTAGTTGCGTTTAAGTCTAATAATTGAAGTCACAAGTTTTAAAACACAGCCTGACGATGGAAACCTATTTTCCAAGAGCGCTAGTGAATAAAACATAATAGTCAAAGATAAAACAAATTATTATGTATTGGCCTTATTGAACATTTAAATTTATTTATACATTTCATTTAATTGCCAATATCTCCAATATAGGCTATACAAACTAAACTGACCATTCCTCAAAAAAGGCGGGGAAATAATTTGTAGCAATTTTTATATTCTAAACCTGTTCTAAAAACTGCTCATAGAGTGTGCTGCTGTCAAAGTTTGATTTGCGCTTTTAGTTTTTACTCCTGTGATTGATGCTACATAATATTATACCATAATTTGAGTTGTTCTTTTAAATTGACTTGGTTAAATAAAATGTGTGTGCATTCAACAGAAATCAGTAACAGACATCAGCACAATCTGTTGGTGGCTCACTTTGAATAACGTCCATTTTTTAAACTAAATCTGGCTGTTCCCTGTTACAAGCGAATGGGATGTGTCCATCCATAATAAAACGTGCGACATTACAAGGGTTCAACACATGTTGCAGTCAGCTGTTGAAGGACCCCAACGTCCTGTTTGCCGGCTACAAACTACCTCACCCTCTGGAACACAAGTTTGTGCTGAGAATTCAGACCACTTCGGACTACACTCCACAAGAGGCCATGATGAACGCCATCACTGACCTCATCGCTGAAATATCCTTGTTCGAAGAGAGATTCAAGGTGAGGAATATTTTTTGAATTCTAAATAAACTTCTTGAACAGAAGTCAATTCAAGTAAATTTACTAAGACTGTAACAAAATAGCTTTTGCGCAAATACCATTTTCAAAAATAACAGATTATCTTATTCTAGGAGTACACTTAGCCGATAATTTTTTTTAACATCCCTTCAACAACAAAAACTTGTAGTAATTAGTGTTAAATTAATTAAAAATTACGACTCCCATTTTTGTGTGCAGCATAGCATCCACTGTTTTTATGTAATTGCCAGATTTTCATGGTAAAAGTAACTAACCAAAAAACTGAACCATCGATCTTAGTTGCTTATGAAGGTGTAGGCCTAATTATTTTGTTAACACTATTTTTTGCCATTTTATATCTAAAGAAAAAATGTTAACTTACGTTTTTTTATTTTGCTGCTCTTTATTGGTATAGCGGCCAGAACGTGTGTGGATAAAATTTCCCCAAAACCTTTTGTTCAATATCAAATGTTTAATTTACCAATACCGTATATATTATACATTCAATGTTTTTGATAACCTAACTGAATGTTGTTTCTGTTACAACAGGAAGCAATTAAGGAGAAAAAGGAAGGACTCGACTAATTCTTGCGGTTCACCCAGAATCTGTTTGTATTCCATAAATGTTTAATGTAAATAGATAAGTTATTCATGAACGTTTGCTTTTAATAAATGATTTTTTTCAGTACAATATTATGATTCTGCTTCCACTCCTTTAACTCACTGATTGGTTAGTATCTGTGCTACTAGATATTAAAAGTGACAGAATAGAATCTTTTAAGTAGAGTTTGCATTCTCAATGCATCAAATAAATTATTTACACTTTTAAATACAGAGATAAATTTTTGTACAAGATCTACAAAAGTTGTACTAAGCTTATCTAAAATGGGCCCGCGGCCGCGCTATGGCGGGGGGGTGTAGAGGGGAGTGTTTATTGCTCATTTCCAAAAACATCTGGCCCAAACTGCTCTCTTGGGTTGTTCAGCGCCTCAGCGCTGTCTTCATGGCTTTGGCGTGGGGGACGGTAGTACACAAGGGTCCGCGCGCCCAGACTAGCTGCAACTACTGTAGCTGTGGGAGACTATTCTGATGATCTCATTGGCAAGTGAGGGTTAAACATTTGACACTACACTGTTTTAACAAACTTCACAAGCAAGGATTAAGTCCAGAATACAGCTGTTTTTGACGGACACCAACCAGCTGATTATATTTGGCGATGAGTGGTTATAATCATATACATAACCTCTCTGAGAGGTTTATTAGTGGTGATTCTAAATTCTAAGTCGTTTAGTCAGTGGGAGTATATAAGGATTTGTACAGACAGATTTTTTAGTTAAGTTAGCGTAAAATATCGTACGTCATTTGTCCAAAATGTGTTTACCGGACTCGTATGGTAATCCCACACTCGACTTCGTCTCGCACGGGAACGATCAAACTTGTCTGGTAAACACCTATTTTCATGACTAACGTTTAATATACTATTAACTAACTAATGAACATAGAAAACAAATTTTCACATTTTAGAATCTGATTCCAACCTCAGTTGAGAAAGTAGTTACATAAAACATAATAAGATTCAGTTGCAGCTATGAGGACTCTCGGACGCCCACAAAAATAAAGTACCGGTACGTTATAATATTCATCAGTTCAATTTAATTAGTTACTAGAACAAGCATTAAAAAAAAAACAATGTAAGTTAGGCCTGTAAATAAAAATGTATCAAATAATTTAATTCAGTAAAGACTGATTTTTATGGTCCCCTACATAGCAGGTACAGTAGCCAGACCAACCCAATCCAATTCTGTAGTGATAAACTTGTATGATCATATCATTTGCTGTGCATGTTAAAATATACAGTTGGGCCTTCCACTATGTTTGATCATCAGCCGCTACTGACAAGATTAGTAAAGAAACCCAGCTACATGTAATACCCACCCAGCAAACAGTACAGTAGTCAGGACTGTTATGTGCTTTCTCATCTTGGGTTGGGATTTGATTCCATATCTCGAAACATCATGAAAACTTATTTATTTTACTAAACGTGATGGAGAATGTCTGCAAGAATCCCTCAAACACCATAAACATAAACCCACCATTACCAAAAATGAACTTCAAACAATGAATATAAATACCATTCCTTGCAGATATAAAGTTTATGGGGAATAAAATCACACAGTACATACTGAAAGCTATGGGTATTGGTTGTCTGCAATTTGTTTCGAGTGATTCTCTCATGAAGCTCTAGGTCAGTCAATCAATCTTAATTGGTGAGTATTCCTGGTCAATGAATATGACTGTTTTTTGGCACTAGCTCCTCACAACGGTTAAGTCATGGGTAGTTCCATGGGGGCTGCAAAAAAAACAACAAAAACAAGCAGAAGTCATGGCGAGGTTTGAACTTTTTACCTATGTTGTGTCCAAAATGCAAGGTTACAGTCATTATGTCCCGAATATTCTCAGTTGGCTGTAGCACCCCATGGAATTCTAAAGCAGTCTCCCCTTTTCAACTGGCAGGACTTGCCCATGGGTCAGGTGGAGCCGTTTTTCAACAGGGGCTATACCATAAAAACACAGGCACCAAAACACTCGTCCTACATTCACAATTCCACAGCCATATTAAAAAAAAGTGAATGGTACACCAGACAGGATTTAACTCTTGCGCTGGCCGGGAAGACGCAATGAGCAATGAATCTATTATTTAGGAAAAAAGTGTTGTAATGCTAAAATAACCAAACCATGAACCATGTAATTGGTGTCTCCATTAACCAAACCGAAACCAATGTTGATGAAATTTTTTTCTCAGATAACTGATAAGCCTACAATTGTAAGAGCACCCAAGCTATGTTTGTAATCATAATAATTTGTTTATAATTTTAGAATTCAGAGAATAGATAGATATGACTTTAGGATAGTTTGTCAAATTATTCTCAAATTGAATTGATTTACAATACAGTTTTGTTCAAAGAAAGGCTATAAGCCAGGATTTTGAATTGTACCATGGATAAAACATACTCCCTTAGTAGATTTGGATTTCTCATCCTTTTGGAACAGCTGCAGCCAATTTTATTGTTAGTTCTTTACGGTACACTGTAGAGGTTGTGTTTTGCTTACAATATATTTCTTGTTATTTCAATCATTTAAAACCTCGTCTAACCAATTAATACGATCTAATCATAAACAATAACTCGTCCCCTAGTTATATAACCAAACAGAAAAGCTCAAATCATGAAACTGACCCTAAAATAATAGAAACAAAATGTTGTCTACACTAGCGATTTGTGTCGACGTACAAGAACTAAACACGAAAAATTAGCTTTAAAATTTACGATGGGATGTGAAGTCTACTTGATTGTAGGATAAAGACTTTAGAGGAAGTACAGGTAGGCCGTAGAATAGACAGAAGGGGACACTGTCAAGTGTAGAAGGAGGAGAGTTCACAAAAATGCTTTTTAAAGAGATATTTCGAGTTTTAAGAGAGTTAAAAAAGATTTTTTGTGAACTCTCCTCTTTATCTAGACTTTATAAGGTCCTCCAAAATATACTGTATGTTTTATGTGTGTTCTATGGCTACCTGAACTTTGTTCCGAAGTAATCTAGCTGCTATCCTATTTATTCTACAATTCATAATTTATAACACAATAGATTCGATTCTAGAAGACCAAAATGGATTCACCAAACACAATCTTCAGTTTACTTTGTTAGGTATTTTTTTTCAGGTTTTATTTTTCTTACAGAAAAATCTTATTTAAAACATGGAATTATGACCTAAACACTACGTATTCTAACAGAAAATAAATAAATAACACTAAATCCTTAACATGGCAGGAACATACAACATAACCTACAATTTCTCAACACTCACGAGCAGCAATGAATAAAATAACACAGTAATTAAATACAATATCAAGAAGAATATCTAGGCACAAATCAGCATGGTAGAAAATTGAAGGAAGATGAGATTCCTAATATATGATTTATTGCGTGAGCATGGTTATTGCTTGCAAACTAAAATAATAATAAACAATGTAAAATATACCAATGATTTAAAAAAGGTTTAAACACCCGAAAACTATTTTGATTTGATAAAACCTATTTTCTACTAAACACTAAACTGTGGTTAAATACATTTGGTGTTATAGAACAGCTGGTGACTAGAGTCATTTTATACAAACAGCCAAGAGTACAAAAATAAACTCTGAAAAATCAAAGCTAGTTGCCAACAATATTTACAAATCACATACGCTCTTAGGCAAAATTACTTACCAACAGAAAATTTGGAAAGAACTATACAGGTCTAGACTGATCGTATTGAAACGACAATAATAGGTTTTTTTACATACCTCTGTCAAATAGTCCAACGATTAATATTGCTTTTCAGCTTACATGAAGGTTTAGAAATTTTACATGTCTGTGGGAAAAGGTAGCAAACTTGACACCTTGGAGGAATTCGAGATTTATAAAATTAAGTAAGTAGTAAGGACCACATCCTTAACGAAAACTTACAGTTCCGGTCTCACTCGATTTACAACACAATCATAAACTCAGGAACAGCTGATCGAAGATCTGATAACATAATTGATAACAGTAGAGGTGACATGATGTAGACCTCCAGTCTGCTACCAATACCGTGCCGCGCCGGACCAAATCAGAATCATGATAGCGCGATCTAAATGTTTATTGTGTATTCGTACCATTTTAATGTTTTTTGCGTTCGTGTCGTCTGTGTTTTAAATGTGTTTTTGACGAGTTGCAAGCTTTGAAAATGTTGTCTTCACAACAAAAAATGTAAGCTGATGAGCAATATTAATCACTGGACTATTTGACGGAGGTATGTAAAAAACGCATTATTATCGTAACAATACAGTCCAGGGGCCAGAAACATGCATTTTTCCTACAGTCACCCAACAAAGTTGGCTTCCTTGTACTGTTTATAGTACAGAAAGCTGCTAATTGCTGCATATTTATACTTTGTCGTACGGTTTATCCTTTGGTGCACATCAGGATTCCAACGAAACAACACAAAACAGCGTGGTTCTATTATGCACGTAATCCGTGTACGCTTGGAAATAGGTTGGCAACACTTAAAGATAATAATACTATGAGCAGCTGATTGACTATTATAACTACGATTTAATCTGTCATTTTGTGTTTATAGTTTATGTTCTCTTTTCGGTATTTCTGGACTTTTCTTTTAAACGTTTTTAAAACATTCCTACGATCTTAATAGACAAGAAAATACCTTTAAAGCATTTTTTAGGCGCGGAAACCACTGCAAATTACAAAAATATACGGAACTATTTTCTCAAGTCGCGGAGCACATTGCTTGCCGAGGAAAAAATAGCGGAGTGATACCGACCGGGGACTACTTTCTCTAGGGCACCTATTTGTGTTGCCAGCTGAACCTAAAAACATGTTGTATAGTGTTTGAAAGACTAATTATTTATATGCTTTATAGTGACTGTAGGAACAATATAATGTGTAACACGAGTGCAAAAGACCTTTGCTGCAGTCAAGATCGTTCGACGTAAACGTTGCTCTCGTGTGCAGCAAAGTGCCACTTTGTTCACTAGTTACACAAATAACTATTGTATTGCAACATTTTACAGGGGATCAGATGTTTATATAATCCTACTATCAGCTATAAAAGAATTGAACAAATACATTAAATCAGAATTTAACACTGTAACAGAAACTTAAGAAAACATCATTTAAAATTTACATATACAATAGGGGTGTGCAAGTATTCAAACGTTCTCACTATTCAGCTTAGCTTAATTTACAAATATTTGAATGTTACCGAGCCGAATAAATAACTATTGCTGTCAGGCCTCTGGTTTGTATGGGACATGATATGGGCCCAAGAGATAATTAGGCTCCCCCTGCACCTTCCTCTCCTTGCACCCTCAACAATCCTAAAATCTCTTGCGCCAAGCACATTTACTTAATCGGCACTGAATGATAACAGCCATTAGTGTAACAAGTGACACATTAATCTGTGGGATAAGCTTGTTCTATACATTTATATAAAAAAATATACACACATAAAAATTCAAGTTCAGCATGAAAAAGCTCAAAACTCAAAACTATTTGCAAAAGATGGGCTCGGCTCAAACTGAAAAGTCACTATTTGCACACTCCTAACATAAAATGGTACACTTGTCTATATGATAACGTTGTTACAGGTAATAAATAACTTACAACTTACATTTATACAAAAAAAGAGAAAGTAGAGCTAAGCAGTGAGTAGGTATCACATAATGCAGGATAAACACAGGTACTGGAATTTATACTTCCTTGACAAAGTTCTTTTGAAAATATGTTTGATCTGGAAGTTAAAACGTCTCGTCATCACATTCACCTTCAACGTGACCAAACACTGTAACAAAATATCACATTTTGAGTTAGTATCGAAACACAGTACAAATCACATCCAAGAACGGTAGGCTCAGTCCTGAAAAATGTTCCCTTTATTTTGGGCTAGGCCTAGAGGGCTGTGGCGGATTTGAACGTGGGACCTCATGGTAGTAGGGAACAAATATACAGTGGGGTCCTTGGAATTCGAGCATAAGAATTATCCAGAATGAGGAAAATGCTAACATTAAAACATAAGCTGAACATTGTATGTTAATATACTGACCCTCGCAGCTCTCGCAGTACGGTCGCTCAGTGACAGGCTTGCGTTGACTCCTAGGTTTGGGCGGAGGAGAGTCACTACCTTGTGTTGGACAATCTTCTGTGTCGTGCAAATCAAAACAATCACAGATGTCACAGAACATGCGAGGGGTCACTGTGCGAGTCGACCTATCACAACAGAACACTCAATAATTATACAATAAGCGACAGCGTCTAAAGAATATTCTGGCTACCATTAAGCTTACGAGAAGAGAGTCAATGGAAGTTAATACCATATAGGACGAGAGAGTTTTTCAGGTCTAATGAGCCAGCTTAAGCCTGAAAAACTCTCTCTTCCTTAGTTGAAAATGCTGTCAGTGAAATATTATGTTTTGTGTATAGTGCCAAGTTTTGTGTTATTTGTGAGTGAAAAAAATAAACAAAAACATTTGTCAAACACATTTAGTTTTGCATCCATGATTGCTTTGCATACAAGATATTTAAGGAAAAGCAATGTTAAGCAGCCCTTGGAACACAATTATTTCTAGATTTTAATTCAAATAAATCATGCGGAAACTAACTTGACAGGAGCCACTACGCCGAGACTCTTCAGTTGCTGGTTTTCTTCCTTCAGGACCAACAGTTCTCGTTGCTGGTCAGCTATTATGCTGTTCAGGAATGTTATGGTAGCATTGGGATCCGGCTCGTTGGCTGAAAAGTGACATGACTATAACCAAAATGTGAACTGTAATGTCCGTAACAAACCAAGAATTGTAATGTTAATCAGTAGAGAATTAGGAATAGTGTGACAAGTTTTACTTAAGTATAAGTATCATCCTCTATATAAAGTATCAGAGAAAGTATCTATGTTTATGGTAGAAATTTTTAAATAAACTGAACAAGTAATATACTAGTTAGTCCTATTATGAAGTGAACAATTAAGAAGAAAAATTACAAAAAATATTCTTAATCAACTTCATGTCTCATTGAAAATACTCAAAATAAAGGAGAGGCTATATAATTAAAAGAAAATTTTAATTTTCTATTTAATTTCTAACCTACCGTTGTTATTGTTGGTTGACGCAGTGTTTGTTATATTTGCCGACTGGATGAGAAGTTTGTCTTTCATTTCAACATTTTCTCTTTTGATCACATCAAACTGTGTCATCAAAGAAGCCTTTTCACCTGCCAGTTTCTTAACCTCAGCAGTTACTTCTTCGACCTTTCGATTCAGCTGATATTTTTCTTCTTTCAACAAATCATGATCAGATTTCCTAAAAGAACATATTACCTTAATTACTAACATAAAAACTCAAACCTCATGTTAACCCATATTTTTTTGTGATTAAACTTAATACGCAATAAAGGAGTTAGGGTAGTTGTAGGATTGTGTTTAGCCTTAACTCAAAACTTAATACAAATACCAGTTATCCATAGTATGTAGACCATAGCTTAAGAAGTAGTATCACAGGTTTAATTTTAATAATAACCATATAAACTGAACTTAGGCTAAAATTAATTTGAGCTCCAGAGGCTCAAATTTGTACTCAATGCTAAGAGTTATTTTTATACCAGGTCAAAATCTTAACACTACAATTATTTGTCCTGTTCATATAAATATACCATATCAAATCATCAACTTATATTTGGATGAATAATCTATAGAAATAAGGAATAAAAATAATAAGAAACATGAAAATGATAAATAAAAGGTTACAATACCTTAAATTTGCTTGTGATTCTTTTTCTAACCTATTGTAAAAAACATTTTGACATTCTTGGGCCGTCATCATTGGATCAGTACACAATTAGTTTCTAGATACACGAAACGGTTGTGTAATACTAGTTAATTGTGTGATACAAGTGTTGTTTGTGTGACGCAATAGTTCTGATCTGAGTGAGGCAAATTAAGGTAATTCAATTTTTAACTCATCATATCTAACATGATCCAGAAAAGCCACAACGTCATGAAAATAAGCTAACACGAAAATATCAATCGATTTAGTGAAACCAAACCATTTAACTACCTGGACTGAAAAGAAATAATATTCCAATTGAACATTGTAAAAACGTAAGTAGCAACATAGTAGCCAAAATGTTTTATAAAAATATAATACTATAAAAAGAAAACATTTTTGCATAATTTAAAGTCATGATATCAAACTTCTGTTAATGGAGGTTAGTAAATTTTTGACATGATAACATTGACAAATCAGAAGGGAGAGAATATAGTTAAAAACCTAACATTTCAAAAGATACAAATTCAAGACTTCGACAGTCTCATGCAATCTTCGGCTGGCAGTCTCATGTTATCGTTGAGATTGTAAAAAATATTATTCATGAAAAAAGATCAGGTCTCATTACTTCTGAAAAACTGCATCATTAAAAGTTTTTCCTAAATTTTTAAGTATCCTACACAACTTCTAGCTAGATGTTGTCCGTCTTGGAAATAAGTGAATGACGCGACAACACACTGTCAGCACTGTGTGGTGCCCGCTGTGTTTGTAGCGTCAAGAATAACCAAAAATTTCACGCCCTATTTAAAAAAAAAAATGCACCGCAGCATTAGCGATTACGTAACATGGTCGTAAGTTCGACCACATCAGGTAATTTTTTAAGCTTTAGTAGCGCAGTTACACATGTTAGTCTGTGCTGAAGTCATGGAATATCAAACCCAAAGCCAAAGGTAATCCATCAGTCTATCGTCATTACTTAATATAATCTATCACAGTTACTTACTTATTTGCAATTACAATTTTCTTCAAAGTACCATAAAAGCTTAAATTCATGAGTTGTCATCTTACAATCATTTTATTCGTTTATCAAGATTAAACCCTATAAACTAACGGAAGACACATTGTATAGGTTAGGGATGGACGGCTCCCGAAATTTCGGGATTTTTTCGAGAAAAAAATATTCCCGATTATCGGGACGGGATTACATTTTATTCGGGATTTTTTCGGGACGGGATTTGGTCCGATCGTCGGCCATTTTGCCGCTTCGCCAGTGCCGATGACGCCGCTATTGCGAGCGATAGGTCCGCGAACGTAGGAGACGAAGTCATTTCGACGATTGCGCCGTGTCCGCGGAGTCATAACGACGATCGCGCCGTGACCGCGATTATTGCACCGACGATCGCACCGTGACCGCGGAGTCATAACGACGATCGCGCCGTGACCGCGGAGTCATAACAACGATCGCGCCGTGACCGCGATTCATGGACCAACGATCGCTCCGTGACCGCAAATCATACCGACGATCACGCCGTGACCGCGAGTCATACCGACGATGCGCTGTGACCGCGGAGTCATACCGATGATAACGCCGTGACCACGAGTCATACCGACAATCGTGCCGTGACAACGAGTCATACCGACGATCACGCCGTGACCGCGAGTCATACCGACGATCGCGCCGTGACCGCGGAGTCATGCCGACGATCGCGCCGTGACCGCGGAGTCATGCCGACGATCGCGCCGTGACCGCGGAGTCATGCCGACGATCGCGCCGTGACCGCGGAGTCATGCCGACGATCGCGCCGTGACCGCGGAGTCATGCCGACGATCGCGCCGTGACCGCGGAGTCATTCCGACGATCGTGCCGTGATCGCGAGTCATACCGACGATCATGCCGTGACCGCGTGTCATACCGACGATCACCCCGTGACCGCGGAGTCATACCGACGATCACGACGTGACCGCGGAGTGCTACCGATGATCGCGCCATGACCGTGGAGTCATGCCGACGATCGTGCCGTGATCGCGAGTCATACCGACGATCGTGCCGTGACCGCGGAGTCATACCGACGATCACGCCGTGACCGAGGAGTCATTCTGACAATCACGCCGTGACCGCGGAGTCATACCGACGATCGCGCCGTGACCGTGAGTCATACCGACGATCATGCCGTGACCGCGAGTCATACCGACGATCACCCCGTGACCGCGGTCATTTTGACGATCGCACCGTGACCGCTAATCATCTCGACCGCGAGTCATAAGTTTCTATAGGTACCTGTAAATTGTTACCCATTTTTTGGTTTTTATAGATCAGTGCCACAAATGTTAAAAATTGATTTCGTATGTCTTTTTTGGTAACTGCAATACTCAAGACTTTCTTTTTATGCACAGAAAAAATCCCGTCCCGAAAATCGGGAAGGAAATAAAAATCTCGTCCCGTCCCGTCCCGAACCAAAAATTCAATCCCGTCCATTCCTAGTATAGGTACTTACAATTTTCTAGATTCATTCTCATATTGATGGTTCTTTTGTAATAAATCTTTTTCCAATTCAGCTAATTTTTCTTCAGCTTCAGTTTTTGATAATTTTAATTTTTCAAGTATTTCTTTGTTCTTAACTCTATCATCTTCCTGCACCTTCTGAAACTGTTTGATGTTTTCCAATTCTGAATAAAGTTGTTTAATTTTTGTATCTTTTTCTGAAATGGTTTCCTCTAGCTTGGTTTTAAGTGAGTTAACAACATCTATCTGCTGTAGATATTTCTGTTCAACCTCGCCTGACTTGCTTGAAGAACTGCTAGCAGCAAGTTTTAATTTTTCAAGTTCTTGGCTAATATCTTTGATATGAGTTTCTTTTAGTTTGACCTCATTGAGATGTATTTCACTTTGAGACTTGGTCTCTTCTATAACCTTATTAAGTTTGAGTATTTCATTATCTTTATCAGATATTGATTTCTCCAAAACGTCTTTATCTAGTTTTGCTTTTTCAAATTCTTTCGACAGTGAGTTTATCTGTTCTTCTAACTTCTTAGCTACACTATCCTTTTCCGTGCTGAGTGCATTGAGTGAGTTTGTCGCTAATAATTTAGCATTCTCAAGTTCACCTGTAATTTCTGTAATTTTACTTTCCATTTCTTTCAAATCCTCGACTTGCCTGAGGCTTTCGGTTTTCATTTGATCTATGTTCTGTTTAAGCTGAAGAATTTCCACATACTTTTCACAAACTACATTTTCAGTTTTCTCCTTTTCAACTTTAACTTTATCCAAGCTTTCTGATAACAAAGTAATCTTTTCCTCATATGTTGCAACTATTTTTTCTTTTTCATCATTCAATTCAGCCATCTTTAACTTTAAAGCCTCCTCTTTTTTCCTCCTCTCGTCCATGTCCATAGCGGTCTTTTCATTTTGAGATCTCCATTCTCTCAGATCCGTTTCTAAGGACTTCTTCTCTTCTTCAACAGCTTCCAACTTTATCTTCAATTCCTGCTCCACTTTATCAGTATCCTGAATCCTTTTCTGAATTTCCTCCTCTAAGTCACTCACTCTTTTACTTTCGTCAACTAATTTATTTTCAAGTACGACTTTGAGATTAGTTTCATCGTTTAGTTTTGTTTTATAATCTTTCAGATCATTTTCTAACAACTTTAATGTTTTAGAAAGGCTATCAAAATCCGCACTCAAAGAGCTGCATTTGGAGTTGGATATTTCTAATTCATTTTCTTTTGTATGTAGTCTATTTTGTAACTCTTCCAATTCAGTCTGGAACAAAATAAATTGATAGAAAAGCTTACTTAAAGATACCTAAGTAGGTACAATGAATAAAATACAACAAACCATATTTACTTCAACACAACACATATATTAGCTTTTTCATTAGCCTACAAGGGAACCTAGCAAATTTGTTTAAAATACCATTTCACAATATATTTGTTTGAAACTGTCTAAAAATGTCCAAATAAAAGACCATGCGGTATGATTTTGTTATAAAAATATTTATAGAGGTTAATAGTAGGCCTACTTTAAATGTTGTTTTTTCGTACAAAATTTCCTTTGTGTATTCATTTGAAATATAAAAAACACAAGCTATAAAAACACATACGACTTGCGAGTTTCAAGACCCAAAATTTCAAAACAGAGTTAATTTTTCACTGCTTTATGTTGATATATGTTATTGTAGGTTTTAAAATAAGTATTAATCTCGTTTGTGTTACAAGATTCTAAACTCCTCCTCTCACCTTGGTTTTCTCTCTGACAGAGTCCAGCTCATGCTGCACTCTCATCACTGTGACATCACTTTCTCTCCGAGTCTCTGACAACTCCTCTCTCAGTCTCTCCGCTTCTCTCTCCTTCTCTCTCAGAGAGTCGTTCAGCTTGACCAGCTGCTGGGACGAGTCACTTGACGAGTTCATCAACTCCGACAAACTGTTTTCCTGTCAACAAATAAATACTGCTGAAATTTTTGTCATGGAAAATGTTTACAATATTTTGAAACAGAGATGGATAGGATTGAAAAACATCATCATCATCGTCAAACGCCACAGCAACAAAATCATTGACATTTCCTGCAACTGCAAAGACATCATTGTTTCACATAAAACAAAAATCGTGAACGTCTATGGAGAACACGGAGACATCATCGTAAAGCTTGTAAATAACAAATGGTACTGTACTCTTCTTAATCTTTGATAAAGCACACTGTCTATTGTCCATCACCACCCGCCATGGCGACATCATTATGGTCTCCCGCGATTACGGAAAAATCCTAGATAACTCCAGCGATTGTAGAAACCACTTGAATATAATGACAAAATCATTATAATTTATTGCGATTGCCAAGACGTCATCATTGTCTGGCAATCGCAGGAAATTCACCAACAGTTGCAACAAATACGGTTCCCAGAAAATCCCAAATTTAAACGTTATCTTGCCCCAAGATTGAAAATGTATTTTCCTAAAAATATACTGAAAATTCAGAACATTTCCAGCCCTCATTTGAAAAAAAATCTACCTCAAAATTGCCAATCTTCTTCAAATAGTTAACTAATCCATAAGTTACATAATTAACAAATTTATAAATTGATATTAAACCGCTTACCAATTTAACTTTCTGCTCAGTTACTTGTGCACACTTCTCTTCTAGACTTTGGCAGTTGCGCTTCCATTCCTCGACTTGTACAGACAGGGCAGACGAGGAGCGGCTCAGATCTGGTACACAAAAATAACATAACTGGTACATCAAGTGTTATAAGTAAAGTAATAGGTATATCAAGTGAAGTGAAATACCTGGTACATCAAGTGTTATAAGTAAAGTAACATGTTTTTTTGGTAACCGGTACAAGTAACATGTTCTTTGATAAGTGGCACAAGTATATGAATAATGAATAATGAATAATGAAGTTTATTTCCCACAAAAAACCACAATGTAACAATACATGAGATGTAGAGAAATAGAACTGGCTACTTGATCCAGTAGTGTAACCAGTTTGCTTATACTAACTTATCGGCTAACATGACGTTGTAATTTATGGTCTAGCATCTGTTATAAAACATTGAATTCCGCCTGAACTGTGCATCTGATGGACAAAACAAGAACTGTTTTAATAAACAATGAAAGTTATTACAACAGGATATTATTGATATAATTTATGTCCTGCTGAGAAGAAAGCCAAATTATCGTTGCTTTGCTAAAATGCTTTAAATTTAAACTATTCTTTATTTGAAGTGGTAGATAATTATAGTATTTTGGACCTAGATATTGAAAAGAGTGACGAAAAATAGCTTTATTTACTTTGGGTAGTTTCAGAGTATTATTGGTAATGCTTCTTGTTATGTATGTGTGTGTAATATTTGGTATGACGTTAACTCTGTTTCCACTTCGAACAAAAAACAGTCTAAGAACTTTGAAAACAAAAAGGTGCTGTATGGGCAAAATTTTTAACTGTTGGTAGAGTGGAAATGAACTTGTTCTTTTAGGTTGTTTCAAAATTATCCGCATAAAAAAGTTTTGTGTTGTCCTTAATCTATTTATCAAGGTTTTATAAGTTCCTCCCCAGCATGGCAAGGCATATTGCAATCTTGAGTTGATTAGTGCAAAGTATAATGTTCTCAAAAGTGATTCGTTACAAAAATTTCTTAAAAAATAAAATTTTCTTATTTGTGTTCGTATCTTAGCATGTAGATTTAATATATGAGGTTCGAAGGTGACTTTTTCATCGAGTAGAACTCCTAAATATTTTATAGATTTTACTTTTTCTAACGGCTGGCAATTACATAGTTGTGGACTGCAATTTGAGGAGTGAAAAATTAAAGGAGATGGCAATTCAAAACCGGTTGAATGGAAATTAACAAATTTGGTTTTGTTTACATTTACCTGCATTCTATTGATCAAACACCAATTTCTTAAAAGTAAAAGATCATCGTTTATTAAATTTTCCATCAACATCAAATCGTTTTGTGTGTAAAAAAGAGCAATGTCATCAGCAAAAGCAAAGATATTTCCGTTAAAAGGTAGATTTAATAAATCGTTGATGAACACTAAAAATAAAATACCTGAGGTCGTTGACCCTTGGGGCACACCCGTTTGTACAATGAGAGGATTACTGTAGTCATTGTTTATTTTTACTTGTTGCCTCCTATTTGTGATGAAACTCTTAAACCACTCAAAAGCTGTACCTCTTATTCCTACGTTTTGCAATTTATTTAAAAGAATGTTGTGATTTACCATGTCAAAAGCTTTTTTAAAATCAATAAATAGACCTGTTGTTTTCAGTTTTGAGTTTAATCCTTGGAAGATGAGGTTTTGAGTTTAATCCTTGGAAGATGAGATCGGTTACTGCCAATAAAGCACTTTCTGTTGACCTGCCTTTAATAAAACCAAACTGCTTATTACTGAAAAAATGTGTTTTATTTAAAAAATTTTCAATTCTAATCATCATGAGCTTCTCGAGTATTTTAGAAAAAACTGAAAGTAAGCTAATGGGTCTGAGATTTTCTAAATTAAAAGAATTATTTTTTTTCTGTGGGGCTTAGTTATAAAGAAGTGTTACTTTTAGTAACAGGATCAAGTAAATACATTGCCCACTTTAAGTAATAGCCTACATTGCCCAGAACAGCAACATAATGTATAATATGACACCAATTAAATCCATAGGGTGTGGCGTGAAATGCAAAAATATGGAAAAATCCCATGAACAACAACATAAGAGCACAAACTATTAAAATTATGGCTTACCCTCTTGATTTTTGCCTTGTGGATCTTAGTGTCATAAGTGAAATGAAACTTTAAAAAACTTCAATTAAAAAATCATCATAAAATCTTACCTTTATTGATGGTTTTGTTTTTACTCAGTTCTTCGTCTTTTGAAGCTAGAGTTTGTTTTTGGGATTCAAGTGATGCTGTTAGCTCTAAGATCTTTTCTTCTAAACTCTTAGCAGTTTGTTCAACCACCTTGAATTTGTCAATATCTTCATTTAATTTTCTGTTACTTTCTTTTAAATCGTTAATGTTCTTTAATTGCGTTTCAAGCTGTGTATTCAAATTCTCAACTTTACTTTTTAGATTTGTTATATCTTCATCTTTTTGTTTCAAGCTTTCAGCCATGACAGCAGTTTTCTTTGCTGCATCTTCGATACCGCTCATGTTACTCTTGTCTTTCTGTTCTAATTCTTTTTTAGCTGCTATCACAGATTCCTTCAAATCGCTTATTTCCATTTTATACAAATCCTCTTGTTGTTCGAAAGCAACAGTTTTCGAAGTGAGAGTATTCTCCAGATTGCTCACTTTTTCTTTTAGAGATTGAATCTCCTTACTATAGTTCTCTTTCAAACCGAAAATCTCATCTTCTTTACTCTTGAATTTACTTTGCAGTTGGGTTAAATTCAGATTCAAAACAGATATGTCATTAGTTTTATTATTATTTTCATCTTGGAGGTCTTTGCATTTGTCCTTCAACACGGCGAGTTCCTTACCGAGAGATTCTTTTTCAACCATAAATTGATTCACGGTTTTCTCTATTTCCCCTTTCAACCTTGCACACTCCGAGTCCCTCTTTGTTAGAGAACCCTCTACTTCACTGAACTTGACAGTCAACGTCCTCAAGTCTGTTTCCAGCTGATTTTTGATTTCGTTGATCTGTTTCAGCTCGTTCTCGAAATTAGCTCTCTGTTGTTTCTCTTCCTCGAACATGTTCTTCCACTTGACACATTGCTCTTGATGTTCCTTGATCAATTCCCTAGCCTCTTCCAAGTTTGCTTGATTGGTCGCAAGAGCTTCCTCCGCCTCAAACGTTCTGCTTGACTCTGCCTCCAACGCTTCAACTCGCCTTGTTTCCGCTGCCAATCTCTCCTCCAGCTGTTTGATCTGTTCTTCTTGCACTTTACACTGGGCCTGTAATAAACCACAAAGGAAAGTGCATAATTAACAGCATTGATGCAACTACTCGCTTTTTTATGATTTAATATTTTAAAACATATTAATCTAGAGGTTAAATACATTGTTGCCAATGTAATCCTTGGTAGTCTTAATGGTGTGGTTTCTAGTTTCTACACACTTATGGTGTCGTTGTCAAGCCTAGACGTGATTGCCTTAGAGTCTAGACCTACACCTTCAACCCGCAGTGCACCAAGAGTTGTATGACCATGCATATTTTTTTGGAAAAATGTTTGTGTTCGTTTTCGTTATTTATTCGTCTGGTTTATGTGTTTTGAAGACTTTATGACGACCTTAGGAGCGACAACCAAGTCTAGGCTTGACAATGATACCATAAGTGTGTCGAAACTGGTAGTCACCAAGACTACCAAGGATTACGTTGGCAACAAGAGCAACTCTAGGTAAATTGTTTAGTAAACCAGAAGGCAACACCTCAGAAATGAAGTTTTAAAACATATTAGACAACTAAGCCTCAATATGAATATAAAATGACTTGCAAGAGTCCCAGATCTGCAATATTCATTCATATGAATTTACGATACCTCTCAGTAGTTTTAATGGTCAAAATTAAGGTATTGCATGTTTTAACAGGATTCCATTGTCAACACTTCAGTCCAGGAATATATTAAACACACTTGAGTACCTCTGTTGATGGTATGCCTAAATGATATGGGACTAAGTTCATTTCCTGGACTAAGTTCACAACGATGGCATTCCGATTACACATTTCAATTGATTGTTAATTAGAACTACTAATAGTTTATAGCTATTGTAAATCCTCATTACTCCAGATCATAGTGGTTCAAGCTGATCAATTCATGTTGGTGTTGGTATATTTTCAATATACAGTAGACCTCCTCTTAACCGACCTCATATTAACCGATAATCGGGTTATCCGCCTTCGATCGTAAAATAATACACACAGTTTGTTTTAACCAACCTTGCTTTGAGAGCAGCTCGGTTTAACCGCCGTTTTCTAGGAATCTCGGCATTTCCGCTCCCACACTTGGCGATGAGAACTGAACCATACGCTTATCTCCACAGGATATGACTAACAATAAGTTATTTTGTGTTGATCACAAAAAATATAGCATAGCCTATTGTCAGTTTGTCATCATTGTTCGTAGCTCGAGCACATCTGATCTGATTTGTTATCCGTGCGGCAAATGTATAACAACATCATAAGGTGCGTTACGATTTTGAAAACTGATTATCTTATCGCCGGAATAAACAAACAACGCAACTTGTAGGGAAGGCAGGGAAGGGGTTAACAACTTCAAGGTCAAGATAGTTTTTGTGCCTCGAGCCTCCAGTGAGAGGCTATAATAAATAAACGTCCTGTCTTGTAACAAAATGGTCGCTTGTATCTTTAATGTCGACAAAAGGTTCTGTACTGTATTACGATGTATTTGGAAAGCATCAATTAATACATTACAGTACTAAAGTTATTAAAATAGGAATTTTATCGACTCTTGCCTAGTATTATAATATATTCCACTGAAAGTAGGCCTATCTGACTTAACCGTGTTTTGTGTTGTGTTTATTTGTGACTTTTCTATCAATATGAAAAAGGAGATAAGAGTAGTTTATTTGATAAACAATGCAAGTATAACTTCAAAATAACGATTATATAATTCCAAATGAATAGCACTTCATTATATTATGATTTTAGGGATTGCCCGTTTTAACCAACCTTTTGAGTTATCTGACCTAGGTCCGGTCCCATTAGGGTCGGTTAAGAGGGGGGGTCTACTGTACAAAATAATTGTTGTAAGTGTTGTATATTATTTACATTAGTCATAGCCATAATTCTTTATTTACAATTGATCTTCAAGAACAGTAAACAAGTCAATGGTAAATATGTAATGAGTTCATGTATTTCATGTGTTCTTCTTTGCTTCCTCGTAATATTCCCTGATGGTGTAAAATGGTCTCAGAAGCAGCCACTTGTGTAAAGCCCATCTTCACCTCGTAGAGTCTTTGTTGTTTTAGGTAGAGCGTTACATAATCTACAACCTGCGTACGAAGGCTTTTTCTCAAGCTGAGTCGTTCGGTGATTCGGCAGGTATTAAGCAGTGGCCTGTCTTGTTCTGTAGCAATGGACATCTTCACCTCTTGGGAATTCCTCTCCATCCCCATAGAGTATCACAGACTGGATATACAGCGCCACTACTGTCATAATCCCCAGGTTTTGAAAGCTTCCCAGCAGATGTCTCCTAACAGCTTGGGTTATATAAATGTACATACAATGATTCCCATTATTCAATGAACTTCAAGTATTGTACTTTTCTCAATATAACGAACTGTAGATTCCTTTAAGCTACAAGCTTCACTACAATTGATCTGCTTGTATACTCACGTCTAGGTCTGTTTTAGCCAAGCCCTCCTCGTCCAGACGGAACGTCAGATCATCCAGTTTCCCCCTCTCCTCCTCCAAGTGGTTCCTGATCTCTTGATTCTCTGTTTGTAGTTCGGACAGCTGGTGTTGCAGGTCAGCTTGTACAGCCTCGAATGTTTCTTGTAACTATAAATAAATAATTTTTATTCTCTGATGGTACAAAATATGGTTACAAGTATTTTTAGTAAGTACAAAAATATAAATGCATGAAAAGGACAAGTTTGGCCAGTTTTATAAGTTAAGTTTTATAAATTTGCGCAAAGATTCGTGGTTTGAGGATGTCTGTACACCTATATGAGCTGTTTGTCAGATTATAGCGTATGTAAACCTATCTATCACACAGAGATATAGAGTTATAGACTGTAGCACACTGGATCATTCAACTACCTTCCTTAACCTTTTTCGTGAAAATTTGGCTACAGCTGGCCTCATAAGATGTCCACTTTAGTATTCAAAATTCAATGTTGAACTCTATGTTAATTTCCAAAAACAATCATCATACTCAATTCCACATTCACAAAGATGCACGTGTCTAACGGAAGATGGGCTTGCTTATAGAATTTCTGGAAAAATCATGCTGGTCGTATGAACTGTCCTTGTGACTGTTGTGAAAAGGGAATAAGTAAATTTTACTTATTTCTTAGTAATTTTACTCAATCGGTATTGTACACCTATAATAGCTTCATACACGGATTGCTTTCCGTGCCAATGTGTCCATTCGACTACAATGAAGAAGTAAATATTAAACACATTGTCGTCGCTTATGGTTCTCAGGGCAATCTTATTGATAGATTAATTCTATATAAAAAAATAACCACAAAATGAAAGAAAAGAAAATGTCCATCTCACAAAAATATGTCTAATCTTTAATTACTAAATTTAAAATCATGATGACTAAAAAAGCCCTGCTATGTCATTTTAAACTGTATACAAACATGGGTCTTTATTGAAAGGGCGGCCTCAAACAACTCTAATATTCAAAAAGACTGATGTTCATAAGATTAATTGCGACAACTGCTCTAAATATTACATCGGCTAAGCAGCTCGTTCATTTAAGAAAAGATTTAAGGAACACCTTAACACCTACCAAAGAAAACAACATCCGTTCAAACCTCAATTTTTGCCAAACATTTTGTTTCTGATGACAATAAGCATACAAATATTGACAGCGACATGACTGTACTGTATTTATCTAATGGCCATTTTAATAGAAACACGCTGGAAGAATTTGAAATTTACCGAGCAGTAAAATTTTACAAACAAAATATTGCAAACGATAAGCTCTTTCCAATCAAATTATATTTGTAACACCGATATCAAAGTACTAGAGAGAGTCGGGAGTGAATTGGGCCTACAGCTGACTGATAACAAGACAAAAGAATGTGACATCACAACATAGCCCACGTTGACCCTACAGTGGTACATGGATGTCTTGACTCTAAATTCACCCGGTCGTAGCACATCATTCCCCTCTACCTCCATGTGAATCAACGACCGACTTATGAAGCGATCATGGCATCCTTTGCCTCCAGAAGATGACTTCATGAAAAGATAAAACTAGTTGCTGCTCCACATTTGGATTACAAAGACGCAGGTATTTAAACAGATTTTGATATTCAACGCAATCTGGAGGCAAAATAAAAAATGAGTTTGAAATACATGGCTTATGGGCGCTTGGTACATCACAATGTGAAATGGAGTATAGGCTTGTAGTGTAATAATTTTAGTAACCTGGCGCAGCTGCTGTTTCAAGTTGTCGTTCTCTCTCTCGGCAGTCTCCGCTAGCTGAGCTGCACGAGTCACTGACAATCTCTCCATGTCTCTCTCCTTCAACAGCTGTTCTATGTACGCCTCCTTGTCCTTCAGCATGGCCTGATAAAAAAACACTCAACTTAATGCAGGTAAAACATATGTAGAACACGCAGTCCAGTGTTACGGATGACTAGATGAGAATATTTCTTCATAGCAAATTTTAGGACCACATGGATCGTTTTTAAGTTTATTTAATCCCAAAGCTACTAAAAATAAACTAACAATACACTTTTAAAACACATTTTCTTAACGTAAATAATGCAATAGTTATTTGTGTAACTAGTGCGCGAAGTGGCACTTTGCGCTCGCGTGACATTTTTCCTACAGTTACTATAAATCATCAAAATAATTAATCTTTGAAATGCTAAACAACAAGTTTTAAGTTAGGTTCAATCCAAGGGTTGAACAAAAATATGATGTTAACATTAACAGGAAACAACAAGTCGTAGCATCAAAATTCAAAAGGCTACAAAATGCTGCACCAGTTTATTATAGTTGTAGCAACTTTAAGTGTTGCCAACGTATTTCCAAATGTACACGTATTACGTTCCTAATAAAAGCATGCGGTTTTGTGTTGTTTGGTTGGAATACTGGAGTACAGCAAATAAAAATGAGTGCAGCAAAAGTTAGTAAATGCAGTAATTAGCTACTTTGCGTGCTATAATCAGAGCAAGGAAGCCTGCTTTGTCTGGTAACTGTAGCAAAAATATATTATACTACAGTAGTGCTACATTATCATAATTCATAATAGACCTTTCAAACATTTAATACTTTTTAATAATTTTCAATGAAATGGCGACCATATAAAATAGTTATTTTAAGCCAAGCATGAATAGAGATGAGTGTAGGATGAGTGGCGTGATCTTGTGGTCTTGTTAATGACTAAGGCCGACATATCCTTAGAAATTTACCCTTGGCTACATTCAGGCTAATACACACCACCAGTGGAGCGGGATTTTAGGCACCTGATAGGGTAGGTTAGGAAAACGGAGAAAGTGCTGTTCTATTCTTTGCAGTGGGGATTATAAACTGTCAAAATGGTCAGATAGGCCCTAGTGCCGTTTGACTCCCCAGAGCATAAATGATTCAGTTATTAGTGGAAGGGGGTGTAGTGGGCAGGATGTAACGGAGACCGGGTACAGTTTCTTAACTAGGCTGCCCTAATATCGATTGAAAATTAACATCGATTCGATTAGGAAACCTTCATTCAATCATTTCATTTTCATTTTTCATTTCAATCTTTTCATAATCAGCAAGTTGGGTTAGGTTAGGTTCTAGCAGTTTAATTTTATCCCTACAACAAATTTTGCTGATCCCCCTCCTGGTCGATCTTTCCACCCCCAAACCCGTTGCACCGCGGAACCGGTCACTGATACCTGGCCGGCACTCGCACCGCCAAGCCTCTGGCTGTAAAATGACCTTCGTCAAAGTGTTTAGGCAAACGGCACATGGCCCTGTACTCGATAGGTTAGGAAGTTCCAAAAACAACCTGCTGCTGTTTTAAAGGATCTATATAAAAAGTTATCTTGTATGGAATTTGGAAAGTTGAAGAGCCAGAGCCAGTACTTCTTGCACCATTCCAGTTCTATGACATCAATAATGCGTAGCCTAACTCTCTGGTTTTGGATGGTTTCAAAACAATAACTGTATGTAATACAAGATCATCTCATTAAATAGTACTGAACATAAAAAAAACCATACAAAGGTATGACAAATGATACCTGAACATACTGTTCTAAAATTCAGTTGTGTGGTTTAATCACAATGGTCTTTGGGTAGAGGGAGGTGTTAAAAAGCTTATTTTAACTTGCAAATAAGCGTGAGATGATAAGTATTGTATAGGCGCTTAAAGAGACAAGGCCTTACTGATTCAATTCCTTTAAAATTCTTAGTGGTAATTTTTTTACCCAATAAATTTAAATCTGGTGTAGGCTGTGTGTTGTCCACAAAACCATTCACAGTCCTTATAATATTTGTAGCAAAGTTAATATTGTTTATTTGAGATCTAGACAAACAGGAATATAGAAGCTAGCTTAGCTTAGCAAAAAGCCAAATAGACAGAACATACAAAATGGTACAATATTGAACGTAACTCTTTGTCAGCAATTGACAAGGCCCGCAAAGTAAAAAATAGTTTACTGTATTTTAGCCTTCTGGTTGCATATGAATACTAAAAAATTCAAATTGGTATACTTGTATAAATAGGATCTGTAAAGTTGCAGTAAAGTAGCTAGTTTCAACATTAGAGCCATCATCAGGCCAGTACTAGATGTCTTCTTTTCACTTCATCTGAAGATCATTGATTGGTCTACATGAAGGCGTCCTTCAAAGAGACAAGAAGATAGTTCTGAGCTGATGACTCATATCTGATTTGAAACTAGTTGCCCTAATACAACGCTCTAGGTGCAAGTATTTACACCAATTTAGAGGAAAAAATATATAGTATTTCATGCCAACTATAGCCTACCTGCACTTTTTCTAACATAGCTAGCTGTTATTCTCTTTTCTAAAAAAAGAAATTGTTTTTTTTTAAACCTTCCTCTCCCTGAGCCTTTCCTAACAAAATGAGTATTGTTTGATTGCAGACAACTCTTTTACACCAATTTTTATATTGGTATTAAAATATTTGGGGAATAGTTTGTTTGTTTTATGCCTTGTGTAGCAGAACATTATATGAGACCTATAAAAAGTATAAAAAATTCCTGATGTTTTCATAAGTCTAATAAACATTTATTTCAAGAGAAATCATTCTCAACAGTTTATGTAGCAGTATTACTGTCATTAGTCATTACAATATTTTAGCTTAAGATTTCTTCTGTAACTCTGCCTCAAGCTGTACAGCTCACTTGGGAATATTTAGCTAATTTCCACATATTCATCAACTTACAGCTTAACTCACCATTAATTCTCCACAAAATATGGTATTTATTTAATATTTGACTAATTAAGCATTACTAACTAAATTAATTTGCGTTGAGGGGTCTGTATTTGACTCCTCAAAAACTGGAAATAATTCCCTGCTGTTTTTTGCAGGCCCACTTTTATAAACGGGCAGACTGGGCAATTGCCCAACAGGTGGTTGGGGGCGCCTGAGGGGCGCCCCCAACCACCGCCCGCACTAGGAAAAATAGGGTTTTATCAGCCGGGATTTCAAAAATAAAATGGGTGATTTCAACTTTTAATTAAGTGAGTTTCTCTTATTGAAAAAGTAAATAAATACAACAAAATTGAAAATACTCGACCTTCAGGTTATATACCTCGTGTAGTCAGGGAAAGGCAGGCAGCAGTGTGAACCGGGCGCACTCACTATACTATCAGAGGCAGGGAGAGGGAGGCCTGGATGGTGGAAGGAAATACATATAGGTGTGCTATTCCCGTCATATGCTGACGTCACTCAGATTGCAAACACCATTTTACCATTGAGAAAAATTATAAAAACAATAACAATCAAATCAAAACAAATATATACTTATATGGCAATACATCAGCTGATTTTTTTGCAATTTGGGTGACGTCAGCAAATTACGGGAATAGCACGTAGGCCAGCTGTAGTCTACAGGCCTACGGTTGACGTGCCCCTCCTCTCTCTCCCCGTCCCACCCCCATCCCCACAAGTCACAACTACCAACTACCGCGCGGCGCCAGTCCAGTACAGTAGTACAGTAGGTTGTGTTCGTGTTGTGCCTGCTGCACAGTCGTCAAATCAGTCACAACACAACCAAAACTATGACAGTCACTAGTCAGTGTTGACACTCACACTGCAGTTAGAAAATCAGTAATAAATAAATAGAAGTGTTGATACAAGTAAGTAGGCCTATAAACAGTGAAAAATGCATAAAAAACCTAGTGGAGCCGAGAGCCGCAAGTGGTTGGCTGAAATAAAACAAACTCAAGAAGCAGTTTTAAAGAAAGTGAAATGTATTAACCAGTATTTCCACTGATACGGAATTGAAAACTCCCTCCCGAAACAAAACTGGTAAAAAAACACGCTAATGTATAAATATATATATGCATAGGCCTATAGACGAACCACGGAAAAACATACTCCCTTAGTAGAATCTCGTTCAATACGTGTGTAATGCAATGAACTGCACACTGAACTGTACTGAAAAATAATCAAATCACTGCGTAGTGCATTAAGCTATTGGCGCAGGGAAAGATGCATTCGCATAGCAACTACTGTCAAGTTCATTGCACTCACCCCAACCCCCAACCCACCTGCTGTGAATTTCGGCGAACTGATGAGTCAACCCCCTTCTCTCTTCCCCCCCCTTCACTGCTGTGGGCAAAACCTTTATAGTTATATATATATAAGGGGGGCGCTGCTTTTGGGTTTGCCCAGGGCGCCACTGACCCTTAACGCGGCCCTGGTTTTTTGCACATTTCAATAACAAACTCTCAATAACAACTGACAACGGTGGTTTGCCCTTCAATTGTTGTTTCTTTGGGCCAAGGTTCTAGACAATTTTTGCCAGTTGGCCGTTGTACTTTATTGTCTTTTAATATTTATTTTATAACTTAATTTTACATTCAGCCAAAATGATAGATTACCTAATTATAGATAACTACGTTGTAGCTGTAGACTCAATAACGCTGGAACCAGAATGTTGTTTGTTCTGATAAAGAACAAATCAGTTTGAATAGTACAAAGAACTTGATTATCATTATTCTGGGATGCCTAATTATAGCAGATTGTTAGCATTATTTAAAAAAAAAACAAGTGTTCCTCTTTGTTGAAACAAAGAAATTACCCTAAATTTAACCTGTTGAATTAAAGAATTTTAATTTTCTTTCCTTGTTTTCTTCCACAAAGTTTTTTCTTACTGTTATATTCTTGTTGTCTGAGAACACTATTACAACAAACAATGTTAGATGTTCAACAGTTTAGATTGTAGTTGTGTAGCACAATAAGACAACTGTAGGTTTGCCAGTAAAAACTGTTATGCAATAAGTGTCTTCTGCACACTGTCCCCTCTTAACAGCTTTGTAGAAGGTTTACCTGTGCTGATGATGACGTGATGAACAGTTGTGCCGAATAACATAACGCTGACGGAAGGAGATTCCACAGCTAGAGTGTAAATTTACTTGTTCACTAATTAGCTTATTATAATATACAATTCTTTCCAAGCATTTAACATTAGTTTGCTATTTGCTATGCATGTGCTATTTATTATTACTTCTTATTTATTATGTTTCAAACGCTTATTGATTTTTGTGTGAGCATTACCTTGGCTTTGCATTTTTGTATGGTATTTATTGTATTATGGTTTTTGCCGTAAATAAATAAAAAACAGATTTACTTTCTTACAATTCTTTCAAATACACAGATAGTCCTTCATTTCCCCTAATAAGCGGCCACTTTGTAAAAAGTATTGTGCGACATTTGATATTTGTGGTTTTTTTTTCTCACAAAGACATGTGGTTTTTAAAACATTTAACAAATTTCACACTTTGACCACCATAAAAGTAATTACAGTACAATCGTTCCAATTTATTTTGTAGATGCCAAAAGCATTTTTTATAATATTCTTAATTTTCAAGTATTCTTAGAAAGGAGATGTGATGAACGATTGGAAGACTTGAATATTTACAAAGGAAAATGTATAAACAGAAATAAGCTAATTAATATACAAGTAAATTTAGACTCAACTGTACTTACAAACCTCTTGCCCGGAACTTCCACCAGCCAATGAATAGGATAAATAGGATATTAGTATGGATACCGCCAAAATTCTTGTCTTTTGCTTATTAGGTATTATGACAATCGTAGTGTTTCTTAATTAAAAAAAAAAAATATTTCAGTGGAACCTTGATCAACAAAATCTCTAATGGAACAAATGGTCATTTAATTTCCTAAATAAGAGGCTCACGCATTAGAGTGCAGGTAACAATGGAAGAGGATTTTCAAAGTTTGGATTTATCAGGATTTCAATGTATTCAGGTTCATCTTGGCTTCAATTGCTTGATCCGGGCAAATGTGGTGACCAGAAAAGTAGGACAAACATATTGATCAACATATTGATTTCAAAAGTTACATAAACATTGTTTGACTCAAGAAAGTAGACAAGGAGTACAAACTAAATCTCAAGAGGCAAAAGGTTGGCGATACTAATGAAAATATGTGATTCATCATGAAAAATATGGTATTACAAACTCCAACACTAAACTTAACTTTACACATAGGATCCATAGGAATGATAGGATTCTAGGGTTGGTAGTTGTAAAAGTTAATGCTATCGCTTACAATGCAGGCAACTTAAAGCGATTACTTCTTCCACTTTGTATCCAACTGTAAATAAATATTACACCAAGATTTCAAAGATTTATTTCTTAAGAGTAAAACAAGTTTTTTAAATAAATTATATTTTACAAAGTGTAATTAACATAAATTAAGAACTAAAAACGAAAAACACTTACAAAACTAAACATCACAATCATCCGAAGTGGAGTGCACAAGCAAAACTAACTAGATGAAAATGACAACCATAATTGAGGTTAACAATAAAACAAGTAATGTAGAGTTAATGTTAAAGACGTAGAAGGTGTTTGGTATTCAGTAGAAGTCCGTTTCCCAGTCTGGGTAGTAATATTTTACGACCACTTTCTTCGTGACCTGAACACAGACTCGGCCGTTAATATCTCGGTCAAAGGTTAGGTTAGTGTCGTTAATGCCGTCACCGCAGTCTTAGGCGTTAGACCGTTATCAGCGCATTAGATTTTGTTGGTTATCAGGTAAATGTCCGTCAATAGCCAGTGCCAGTTTATTTACCAACAAATTAATCGACATTTCCTTGAGTTATCTTAACTTCCTAAACTCCAAAGTGTAAAAATATATTTTTTGGGGATAAAGGTAGTTAAGGAAACTATTAACTGTAGTAACCTATAGTGTTATTTATTAAGGGTAATTAAGTGATCAGTTAAATAGTGATGTTAAATCAATTTGTAACGCTTATCCAAACTGTAAATAAATTATTAACAGATTAAATAAAATAAGGATAAAATAATTTTGAAAAAAAATTACATTTCACAGAATGTGAAAGAAACTATAATAATAAAAAATAATATTCCCTCGCCCCAATAAATTTCTAAATTAGGCTTCATTTACATGGTACTGTAACTGATTTAAAAGTTTACACCAGTTATCAGTGTTATCACTATATTGGTGTAGAAAAGTCCTCATGAAAAATATGTTTTGATATTCATACAGAAGCATAAATATGAAGAATAGTAGCATTGACTATTAAAACAACTAGACATTCAATCCCTGATAATTTGCTGCCGGTTTTTAATCAAAATCGTTGTAGTTGATGTGAGCCATCGGCAGATTGTGCTGATCACTGATATCTGTTGAATAAACAAGCTTTTTTACCGATTCAAACTAATGGAACGACTTGTTATAAGCTACAAAAAATAAGGTACAAAATAGTATTTTAGACACTAGCGCATTCTGTGACTAGCTCACACAACTACATCCTTTTCTAATGAAAAATTGGTGACAGTTGGTCCATATAGGTGAGATCTAGTTCTGTATCCAGTAGTCAATGGAGGTAGTGTTATTGTCAAGTACAAACTTAAAAGTGAACATTTTGAGATCCTTAAATATTGAATTTGTAATGAAAGTTATACTTATTAAGAGGTAAACTTTTGAACCATGTCAGCATGCTCTCCTTAACTAAAATATCAAACAGATAACAAACAATAGCTACCTCGGCATTGCTGGACACTGCGGAGGGTTTGCTGGGAGTGCTCGGTCTGCTCAGCCTCTGCGGAACAACAAAACACATTGTCAAACAAGTTTCTCTACTATAAAAGTTCAACCCTGAGCAACAACAATGTGATGTGAAAAAAAAAACACCGCTTTGTGGTGTGAAAGTTCAACCCGGAGCTTGTGATGTGTGATATATCGGTCCAAGGAACACAACCAAATTTACACTTACACCTATTTATGTTTAACCATAGACAAAAAGAATCAAATATAGACCGACAGCAGTGCTGCGGTTAGCATATGTACCCTAGGGCGGGTTACACACCGGTATGGCAGATATTATGTCGCCGATATTTCTGATGTCGCGGGCATGATGTCTGCGACATATAATAAAATACAACCATGGGAAGAGGCACGTGCTGGCGACATGACAGTGAAGGAATCACAACATTCATCAGTTTCAATAATGTCATCGTCAGAAGAAGATGATGTATTGTTGCTGTTGTTCTTTCTACAAAAACATTTAAGATAACTTCATGGTAATTTTTCCAAAATACATTGTAATTAATTGTATTACAGTACTTACGTAATTTACTTATGGTGTCAATTGAAGTATTATAATATCACAATACTAAATTTCACACCATTAGGCAATTAAGTAAGTAAAACAGCGCCAAAACTACTAGAAACGTGTTCTGCGCATGAGCGGGCCCAAGAGACAAGAGACATGTCTGTCCAAACACCGACCGGTTGGTTCGCTTGAGACACGCGCCCGCGTCACGAGTCGCAGGCAACGTGTCTGCGACACTGGTGTGTAAAGCTCCATAAGTTAACATAGGTTGGTTTTCGAGGGGCATGTCGCAGGCACGAAAAATATCTGCGACATCATGTCGGAGATACCGGTGTGTAACCCGCCTAGGAGTGCCGCACACCGCTGCAGTGTCTACTGACGACGGCAGCGAATCGAACACCGAGCATGCTCTAGCGGCACATCTCGGAACTATCTTTTGACAGTCTATATTTATTCAATTTGTCTATGGTAAACCTTTTCACTATTGATAAAACTAGTAAATCCATTTTTAAGTTATCACTAGTTTCTGAATACAAATGGACATAGTTAAATTAAGCCACTGACAGATTGCACTGATATTAATTACTGATTTCGTAAGCTATAGTTTTTGTTATGTCATATCAACTATTTTAATAACAAAAAATAAGGTAGAAAATAGTTTTTCACGATAAGCATAACATTTTAAATGTTTTCTAATCTGGTAAACTCATAAAGTCATACAAGTTATCTGGTAAAAAAAAACCAAAGAAACTACCAAAATAATTATCCTAAATTAAAAACAATTTTCTATTTTTGAATTTTGATGCTAATATATTTTTTGAAAAAAAAAATACTGATAAAGATGTCTGTATATTGTCTACTAATATCTATGGGAAATATCTTTAAACATTTTTTTTTTATTCCCAAGAATCTTTGGAGGATTATTGGGCAAAGAAGTAAATTAGTTGAGGTATGTGATCAATTATAAAATTAAGACACTAACTTAAGATTGGCAAAACTTTGTTACAACTACTCATGTACTACTGTAAATAAATTAGAGTGAAAAATCATGCATCTACAGTTCAAACAGTGCATCAAACAACAAAACTTAAAACATAGTATTTAAATAAACAGAACCAACCAAAGAGCTAATAAAAATAAAAGCATGCTAATATAAAATAATGGTTTTGCTAGGTAAGAACTACATCAAAATAAATACAACTATTAATGTGAGAATTATTTGTTACATACAGCAAGTATTAATATGCAAGTAAATGGAAAAAAACTCAACTAAATAGACAGGAAAAACATGTTACTTGTAAGAAAAGATTGTGTATATTAGTAAAATAAAGAAGAAATCTAAGGAAATGTAAGTCATAAATTGATTACCAATCAAAGCTAATGAGTTTAAGTTAACATTTAAAGTTTGTAGGCCCTAATTTAAAGAAATTTAGGAAAAAAGACAACCAGTTTAAACTGTGTGAGGGCGTTCAGCCAGTCAGGAAAATAAAATCCAAGTACAATTCCAAGTTAAATTTTAAAGGTCAAAACTTGCTCTTAAATACAAAAAAACTAATTTGTAAATAAATACCTTTGTATTAACATAAAAAAATGCTCAAAGAATCTAACCTAAATAACCTTCAATTCACAAATGAAAATATTGATAAAAACATCCTTTGTAAACATTAGATAATTTTGCAATAGATATGATATGATTTTGGTTCATTGCTGTTAGTATGTACATTATTGATAATCAAATAGAGGCATTTTTTAATCTAAATTAAAATTCTGTTCAAATCCAAGTACAAAGAGTATAAATTACTTCAAGGAATATATTGTGAAAACTGAAAATATAATCTCACTATTTATTTTATTTTGAATATATTAGAAAACTTGAAGCAGAGTTGATTTTTAAAACTTATACCAGAATCACAGCAACATACGATTGTGGCAAACCCGCCAATACTCGTAATCCCCTCTCACGATTGCGGAAACTTTGTGATCATTTACGTTATCTTCTTACTACACAGAATGACTTTAATAATCTACAGAACGCGGAAAAAATGCTGGCCCGTAAACATTGGCCAATCCAAATTACCCAGCCCCATACAAAGTTTACGTATTATTCATGGATCACCGTCAGCTGGACACCCTGTACATGGACTGTAGGTTTAATATAATTTCCAATTAAGTAATGAATAAGTGCGTTCTACAAATTAAATTTAACGTGGATGTTAACAGTGCTGTAAGTAACTTAGAGAGAAGAAGAAGTGCAAACCATGCCATGTTCTATACAACATGTAAACATTGACACTTAGCTCTGTGACTGGTCTCCTGGTATAACATGTTCACTTTCTCACACACACTCATACACTGCAGGGTAAAGTCAATCAAAAAAATCTATTTCTTCTGTTAGTAAAACCGCAGATTTTGATTGTGATTAGGCCTAATTCATAGATAAACGTTGTATTTGAAAAATACATACGAATAACAAGGAGTTACTGTGTCATGAACCAGAGCTAAGCTCAAAGCTAGAATACGTTTCCTATCAAGTTATATTTGATATTTTAAATGCAGAAACATAAAACCTTAGGAGTTGAAGTGTGATCTCATCAAGTTTTAGTCAATGATAGGAATAAAATAAATTAGTAACTCCACACAATTCTTGACGTCTTTTAAAATAGAGCGAGAAGTTTTGGAAGAAGGAAGAAGTGTTTAATTTTTTAAGTAGGTAATAATATTTTGCGTCGTTACATCCTGAGACGCTAGGCCTAGAACCGTTTTACACATTTCTTCAGGCTAGGCCTAAAGAGATGCGGCATTGTCACATAGCTAAAATCATTGGTGGTTGGATAGATTTGAACCTGGAACTTCTAGCCGTGCACTCTACCACAAAGATCAGGTAGCTCTCCTATCTATGTAGAAATACATATCAAATTATTTAGAATACTGGCAAACCAATTAGAACTCTTCCCTCATCGCTTTTGTCATTTTTTCTTCTCATAATTGTGGTTGGAACTCATTTACAGTATAGACCTACGTATTTAGGACAGGGTGGGGGAATTTTCAGTCTCTCAAACTACCCTTTCTACACGCCATTCTAATTAATACTATTTTCACAAAATGATGTTAATCCAAAGTAACAAATGTCTCATACCCTGCAGTGGCCGTTGTGTGAGAAGGTGTGTCCGACACTAATAGGAGACCTACCTGAAGACTGTTGACCCCCAGTCTTACCCTGGACGCTGTCGAGGCAGTAGAGGTGATGCTGTCCTTGGTGGTCTGACGTGTGGGGCCCGGGGGATGCATGGCACAGCTGGGACGTCTGTTGGGCGACGGAGACAGAGACACCTTGGCAACCGGCGCAAACAGACCATACTTGTTCTGGCACGAGAAATACCTGCAAGTCACTATCATGATCACCAGCTGTACCGATGAAATATTTGCTTTACGACACAAAATGTACATAAAGGGGCTTACATCTGCAAAAAATAATCCTTTGTTTCTGTAGTGGCGACTAGTTTCGCTTCTTAGACTGAACCATCATCAGGCCTACAAGGTATCAAGTCGTCACTTTATTTGAAGATTGTTAACAGAGTTCCAGAAAAAAACTAACACACAAGACACAAGGACATTGTCATAAGCATCACATGATAAACTTGTACTTCAGCTCAGTCATGTCGCATTTGTCAATGTTCATTCCATGTTTTGTGTCATTTTAAGCATAAGTATCAAAGTATCTTAAGAGTTTATCTTTTATCAGACTCTGATCGCAACCTTCAAATGAAGTGATGAATTTTACTCCTTGAAGGCCTGATTATGGTTCACCCTAAGAACCGAAACTAGTTGCCACTATAGCAACCAAGGATCATGTAGGTATTGCAAACCATTTTACACTCATTTTAAAATTATGTGTAAGACTAAAATGCTTATAAATAAATTATTTCACATTGAAAACTACAAAGCAGATATTACACCAACAAAGCCAAGGAGTAGAAGCTAGTAAACTAAACGGTAATATGGTAACCAAATGTATATTTTCATTTACCTCCTGCCTTGTACAGAGCCGTCGTTTTTACCAACGGGATCGTCGAGTTCGACGCCGCACCACTCCCCTGTGGCAAAGTCTGTCAGTCCGATGTACCTCAACATCCCTGTCTTGCTGCCTGTAGAGCTCATCACTATCACTCGGTCACCCAGCCTCAGGTCCCTGTCTGGACAGTCATATCTACTATTACTCTAAAGCTCAAAAAGAAATGTCTTGCTTCCAAATCTAGAACTTTACGTTAGTCTCTGAGTACAAGAGTATTTCGGTAAGTAACTTCTAGTCAGTTAAATGAAAACCAACAGCCTTGAACCAGGTCAGCATACCTTGACATTTGTTTTGTACAGCCTTTCTTGCTGATCAACCAATTCACAAATTACTCCTGTGCTCATAACCTTAGGTTCATACACCACACAACATTCCCGATGAAATGCTTCAGCCAAATAATGACATTAAAAATCTTACAAGCTCAAACCTCAAACTTGGCAGGGTGTTTAATTGTATCCCACATTTTTTAATGCTGCAAAACCGAAATGAACAACCACTGAACGACTTAACCCTCACTTGACCACAGGTAGACTACTGATCTACAGCGCACGTCTCTACAAAAATATTGGCGCCAGCCTCACTACTTCCGGCACACTGACCAAACGGAGGTTAGTTTCTGAACGGTCCTTGTAATACCAATAGTTCAATCTGAGTCTAAGTTAGTTTATTACAGAACACTTACGGCTGCCAGTAGAGGAGGGAGGTCGACTGGGGGGAGAGGTCGGGAGAAAGCTGTGATCCTCTCCCCCCTCCGACAGTGCGACTCTGGTGAGCCGAGTGAGACGAGAGAAGACACCTCGCTTGGCGTCACACTGGAAGTAACGGATATTGGCCACAGATCCATCGTTCTTGCCTAGGAACACACTCATGGTGGTCACAATTGTTGTGTATGATTTTACAGGTTTTCATTGTTTAGAAATGTTGTACCTATGACAGCCAAATATAATGTTTAAAATGTAAATGTACGTAGGCTGTATAATGTTAGATAAAGTAAAAAAATAACTTTTTGGCCACGTTTTCATTAACTTCCCACACATGAAATCAGTCCTGAAAACAGCAGTTGACGTCTGCTTAATCTATTATCTGCTGAAGTCCAGCAAAATTTATCACAGTAACGAATTTTTCTGGACACCAGCTTATTCTAATTATTTTTAGTTACCGTATTAAACACTTTATTTCATAAACATAATTAATCATCAGGGTAGCAAAATTTACACAAAACTTAATTCTGAAGATGAAATTCACAAAATAATTAAGTGGTTATAAACTAAAAACATAAGCCCTTAGAGAATTTGTCAGCAATGACTTAAGCCCAAAGCTTGGGGTGTGAATTCAAATGATGTTTATTGTTTATTCAGGTTCATAGTAGTAGGGCAAAAAATATTGTAAGTCACCTGTACAAAATGTTTTAACCATGGTAATCCCGACCCGAGCGACATATGTCCAGCGAACACATATTTTCTGTACTAGCAACGTAATATACTTTTCATCATCTTTAGATTGCTTTACTGACACTAACTACAAAGACAGTACCTATTGGCAGGTCCAGTACGACGCCAGCCCACTCCCCGGGGGCGAACTGCGTCTCTCCGATGTAGGCGATGATGCCAGGCTTGGTACCGCCCACCCACACTCTGTCTCCGATCTTGAAACTGTCCGTGTCCTCCGTCAGCACCACACTCGAGTCTGTCAACACCACAGGTTATCATGTTAAAACACATTATCCATTTTGATGATTGGTGGGATTCGAACACAGAACCTCGGGGAGCGTAGGTCCATGCCAAGTTAATGGTTATTCTGATGGGTTGTTCTTAGATTCTCTGTAGCAGTACACCCTCAGCAATCCACACTTTATTAATACAAACTTCACTTTTAATCACTCGCCTTTTAATATTCCATACAGTTGAATTCGGATTGCCCCACAGTAACCTACACAGTTTTGTTACACAGTTTAAAGTGCTTCAGTAGAATTTAGGATGCACTATTCAAGCTTTTTTTCTTTTTAAGACGTTTCCTCATACAGAGAATAAAAAAATCTTGGGATAGTACCGCCTTTCTTCATATTAAGTTTATTTCAATCCAGACTTTTATTAATCTGGACTACTTGAATCCCTAACTAGTACAGATTGTCGAGGGTTTACTGTAAAAGGAAATTTAGATATCCATTAAATTGGTTCACATTTTATACCTACAGTCGGGACCACGAAAGTTAGCAGTTGGCGGCAGCCAATCACAAGACAAGGCTAGTGCGACGTTGCCATATCGCCCGTTGACGGCACTAATTATAATACTAAACAATATTTTCAAATCAGCTGGTATTATTAGATTTGGTAACACCACACTGTCCTCATTGGCTCCTTCGAAGTCACGTGGTAAATAGGCTCCTCCCTCAACTGCAAACTTTCGTGGTCCCGATTTTAGACAATCAATTTATTTCTCAAGATAGCCATTCTATACAAGTGCTACAAATGTTCACTCTTCCTATCCATTTAGGCTTGGTTGGAAATGGAGAGATTAAGGCATATGTAAAACAATCAAACAAATTGACCTTTGAACATCTTTTAAGGTTTCAGTAGTATATTACCACTAATATTAATGAAGATAAAACATTTTTATAAGATGTTTGATAAATGCTGACACAACCACATAAATTTCCAGTGTTGACATTTGGTTTGTGTGTCCGAAAAATGTAAACAATAATACAATATATCTTGTAGCCTTTTGTTTTGGGATGAATACTGGTGAGTTCAACTTGGACACTTGCCAAGCTACTAAACAATGGCGCATCAAATCAATCTTCCAATTTAGAAAACGTCTTAACGTGTAGAATTAGATAGATTTAACTTTAACGTAAAAATATTGGTTTGACAAAAAATATTAAGAGGACACTCGTAAGAGGAGCATGCTCTTTGATTCCCCCTCATGCAGCATGCAAGGTAAAATGTGCAGTTATTTACCTACCTTGGTTTTAACCAACTCCAGTCCCTTCAGCAGTCAATGGTTACAAAGCTATGCTAACTTATTTTAATTTGCATCAGTATAAATCTTTGATGACTTAACTATACATTTAGCATACTAAAACGGTCCAACTTTAAATTGAATGTGAGAATCAATTAAAGGTAGCCTATCGGAGAAGTCGGTCACAACAAAGGTGTGGCAAAGGAAAACTAATTAAAAAATAAATTAATACAAAAAATCCGTGTGAAATTTATAAAATTGACACAAAAACTACTTACTCTTGCCTTTAGAACGTTGAGGTTTACTCATGGTTGTGTGAGGTGAGGGAATATACTGAGATACTTTATGAACTATGAGTCGTCTGCCTTGAACATTCACACTTCAGTGCTTCAAGTATCGGCTAACACTTGCCTCAATGTAGACTAGTAAATACAATACCACACACACTGTAATATTGCCAGGAACGCAAATCGCAAAACAAGCAACAAAAAGTCGTAGTTTATAAATCTGTATATTTTTTTCCCGAATAAATGTTTACATTAGTCAAACCACAGAAACTAGTACCTGGTGTAGTGTTTTCATTTAAATAAGGGGGTAGAATTTAGTACAAAACAAAACTAGAACAAAAAAGTTGTTTTAGGCAAATTATGTTGTGAAGAATGGAAATTACGTTGAATTACAACCAACACCAACATATTCTACAAAACAGAGTTATTGTGTTTAGACAAATCTTAGTAACAACCAATTAAAGATGGCCTGAAATTACATTTCCACATTTGTAGTCAATCTAAAGAAAGCATTATTTTAGTGTTAATAGTCAGTCATGACGTAGTTGGTTGGATGGTATTGACGGAGGAAGTCAGTGAATAGTGATGGTGGGTTTCAGTGTTAATGGAGGTAAGGTAGACGCCAGAGTTAACGAAGGTGATTGGATGTTATTGTTAAGGGAGGTATTCAGCCGTCAGTGTTAACGGAGATAAGTGGACGCCAACGTTTACGGAGGTAATTTTATGTCAGTGTTAACAGAGTTATTTTGCTGTCAGTGTTAACAGAGGTAGTTGTGGTAGTTGGATGCCAGTGGTGTTCTGTACCTGATGTTCTGCGCACACCGGCCTCGCTGAGTCTGCGTAGGTCTCCCCACAAAGAGTCAGATCCTGAGCCCACTGCATGCAACACGATACAACACAAACATACACATACATACACATACACCAGCCAACAACTCAAGCAAACACGTTTCAAACTAATGCTTTCCCTCAGTATTTCAAATGGTCAAAAAACCCAAACTTAATTTTTGTTTTACCACTATCAATTTGGATTCATGTTCAATCAGAAGTAATAATTATATTCAATTAAAATGTATAAATAATCATGAAGACATCACAAGAGCGATTAAATAGTTTTCTAGCTATCAAGTACCTAGTAAATCTGTGGAAAAAATAATGTAGCCTACTAAACTTATTCATATCATCATTCATTCCTGAAATGTCTAGTTCTCGGTTGATAAGAAAATATACAGTTAAATAATAAATTAATTTTCTTTCAAACACCAAATTATAAAAGAGGTTGAAAACAATTATACTTCTGTTGAAGAACTTATTATTTTTTATGGAAATCAATACTCATACAATATCAACCATTTTTAAAATATAAAAATGTATCAATGTTGAGTTAAACAGTCGTTACAGAAAATAAAAAAACTTATATTTCAGGAATTGAAACTTATTTTAGTCTCTCTTTTGCTGAGGCGCAGTTCATTGCCCAAAAGTTCGGAAACAAAATTTAATGAGTTCCAGCACACTCTAATTGATTTGATCATTTATATCTCACTACGTTTATATTATTTATCCTTAATCTTTTTTTTTAAGTCAGTATTTAATTTTCTAAAATTGATAAAATATGGTTTCTTTCTCTGTTTAATTTATTAGAACTTTTAATTAGGGGATCAAAAAATGATCACTTACACATTATATGAAGATGTAATTCTGATTTTTAGTTTATTTCAGCCGTATAAATTTAGGCTATGGAATGTGCATCCAATTACAATAATCTATTAAGTTAAGAGAATCCCAACTTTCTACGAACTGTAAAAGTTGTATCTAACTGTAAATTGGATCTAAATGTAGGCCTAACCTAAATGCGGTGAATAAGAAGAAGATTGGTCCCACTCAAATCATCCCACGGAAACAAAAACTGACAGAAACCAGTTGTGTGCCAACAGACAGGTTCCGCTCCTACCGTATCACAACCACGGTTGCTGGTTGTGATACGGTTTTCAACCAGAACCAGTGTATCAAACCAAGTGGTTTATCATCTGTCTGATTTTCATGGAGTCTATAATTTAGTTATTGACATTTTTCTACTTAAATACACTAAGGATTTTGATACAATAGTATTTTTTTTACCATGAATCATTACATAATTTTATAACACTAATATATATTTTAAGCTGAATGAGACGTATTATATTATCTCTATCTGTGATTTGTTGGCTGAGAACATGTGTGATAAGCATGCAAATATAACAAATTGCTGTCAGAGGTGAAAAACAGTGCAACAAACAAACTGAACAGACAAACAGTGAAAGACACAGGATAGCTTACAAAGGAAAAGTGAACCAAATAGCAAATATCAAACATTGATACCTTCTAAAGCTCTCAGGACCACTGAGAAGATATGGAAATGGAAACCTTTAACATGACTTTTAGTATGTTGATGTATTTGGGTGGAAATAGGTACCAAAGTAAAAAGAGCCCCCTAACCATTGTATAGACTACCGGGTAGATTATCCTATTAAATCAAGGAATATTTTTAAAATTTGTAACGAAGCCAAATGTTTGACAATTTATTTTATTACACAATCAACAATTTAGAGAGTACTAGTACATTCTAACTATGGTAGAGTAAATATGAAAATTTGTATGATTTACATAATATAAAACGTTGACTACTAAAAGGTTTGTAAACTCACAAACCATTAAAGTCTTTGCTAAAAAAATTAATAAAACGATAATTGGACAGCCCCGTAAGACAGTATCAATGAGTCACTACTGACATTGTGTGTTGTACCTAACGTGTCATACTCACGTGAACTCTTACGATCACTTGCGATGCTAGCCCTGCGACCGCTGCTCACCGAGCCGTCGTCAGTATCATCTACACACACACTACGTACTACACACTACACATCAACACAGAAACACAGACACATGCTACACAATACACAAACAATACAGCAATCAGCTACTATGTGCTTACATTTTGAAAATGAATAACTCAAGTTCTATCAAAAAGTTAGGCAGAGTTTTACTGTATTGTATTTATGATGGTATTTAACTTCCCGATTTCAAAATATATTAAAATGGTGTAAATCCCAGCTTCATGATAATCCTTAAAACTGCCTAACAGCATCTAGCTGTGGCACAAAGTTTGCCAACTTTAAGCTGTATTATAAATTATTAGAAAATATTAAAATTGCTACGGTAATCATGCTCTTCTGAAGACTGTCGATTAAACAAATTTACATCGTTTAACAGTACTAAGTTGAAGTCAGTCAAACATAAACTACACAAAAATGTGAACATTTTTTAATTCGCTGGTCTTCAAAAAAGGAAGACTAGCGACAATACGTTCATGTACAGCCTGAAGATGACGCCAACTTCGTGCCAAAGCTATGCTGTAAGCAATTTTACGGATTAACATACAACAATTATATACACCTTTATGGTATTGTTTTTTTACATCAATAAATTAAATTTTAAAAATCCAAACAATTATCAAATTAATAACACGGTAGTAATATGATTCTCTGACAACCCAGTCTCATTGAAAAAGAAGGTGTACATTTTACAAGAAAAGTGAAACTACTTAAAAATAAAGTTATAAAAAAGACAGTTTCCCCTATGATAGAGTTAGAGGTGACTCGAACAGTGCTTTGCATGCAGTGACATTCATTTGACACAAACAATAAAATCCAGAAACCCCCCAAAAAACTGTGACTTGGGTGGGGGTTTTTACGGTGTGTAGGTGAAGGAAGTGTAGGTATTTTGAAAGTTTAAATCCCTTCATGTGCTATGGATTGATTTTTAATAATAATTTAAAAATACTAAAATATAAAAAAAAATGTGACAATTTAATCACCTCAGTATCATGTGTTATTTTAATTTGACAACAGATGCAAGTAAAAAACAAATTATTTTCTTTATTATTTTTTAATATAAAATGTTGCTGCATGATTCTACCTTTACTAGCAGGTTGGCTTAGATTGAATCTGACTGAAATAGAAAATATTAAGTTAATCAAATCCTTGAGGATAAGCTAGAAAAAAACCACAACTTAACAAAAACCTGTTAAAACTACAAATATTTTACCTTAGTCATCTACTTTGATGTACTTAGTGTATTAAATAGGTATATCAATCTCTGTAATATAAAAGTAATGCTAATATTGCTCAAACTGTTGAAGGACTTGTCTTCAAAATTTTGTTTTAAAAAATTAACAATATTTTGACTTTGTTCCAAGTTATAACAAATCTTTAATAGTTTAAAATCCTTGTCTTTTTGTTTGCATTCCACGAACGTTGCACAGACAAAAACCCGTTACAACAAATCACATTAATGAACTGAAAATATTGAAACAGAATTATGTTAAATCGTAAACCTGTATCATTACCATTACCACGCCTCACCAACGCAAGATTGTATGTAAATTGAATGCAAAGCTTAATTAGATTAACTTACAAGAATGATTGGGCCAGGTGACACAGTTTGCATATTGATCAGTCAATTAACTCTTACAACCAAAGTGTTTATTTTGCGAACCCTCGATGGCGAATTTAAATTAAAACGTGAAATTTAATTAAGATTAAACACTATAGCGCATGTTTGATGTGAAATTTTACGAGATTTGATTTTCCCTACACGGATTAGTCTGTTCCAAAAAAAGTGTGATTAACTTCTTGATCAGCATCGTACGTGTTATTAAATTAACTGAAAAAACAAAAAGATATATGTCTAATAACACTTACACTAACTCACAAGACGGTAAATACATACAAAAGATGGTAAGGGGTAATCGATTTTGATTGGACACTCCCATCATCATCAGACCTAATAGGCAAATGACAAATACCTAGGTCATTTACCTATTGGGTCTGATGATGATTGGAGTGTCCAATCGAAATTGATCACCACTAACCATATTTTATAGTCTTATAAGTCTAAGTTTAAATAAATACATTATTACAAGTGTTATTAGACGTACCTATACCTTTTTTGCAATAAACTGTATGTTTATATATTTTTTTAATAAAATAGCTAGGATTTAATGGTGTATTGTAATCTTTATATTTATTTGTGTTTGTTTCTACGTGATTTCAATACAAGAGTTTACTTTTAAACCTTTGAAGTCAATGGTTATAGAAAATTTTATGGTGAATGTGTGTAGCTTTTATATAGTTAGAAACAGTTGTTCCTCACATTAAAAACTAATTTATAAAAATAATTTAATGTAAAAATAAAAAAATTGTATGTAAAAACTTCTAAATTAGTCATATTCAAAAGGAATCATATTCAATATTTTACAAACTTTTAACGGACTTCATCTGTGTAAATAGTTAAATAACAACTAAATTACATAAATTATACCCTTAGCAATATAGGAGTGCCCCTGAACACCAAAAAAAAATACATAATTCTATGTTCAGAGCCCCCATATTAGGGCACAATTTTAAATCATCCTTCAGTAAAATTATTATGTATTTAGGTGGACATCCCGTTGAACCTGAGGGTTTAGCAGATTTGCCACAAGATATTTGTGTCATCTAAAACCAGTAGTTTACAAAATTATGTTATCGCTGAGAAATTAACGACATACGAGACAATCAGTGAAGTAAAATTATATTGATATTTAACATGATCTTTTCTAAAACTTAAACCGATGGATTTTAGTAACAATAAATACAAATGATAAGTTTTCCAAGGTGAACTGTTCAACGGTTAACGCACACTACAAGAATACTCCCCAGCGAATTATTAAACACTAAACGTATACGTGGTGTGTTATCGTGCAACGACCAACACCCTCGTACAGGTACAGACTTGCCGAGTCTCGTCTCTGCAGATGCGTTCTCATCGTGGAAGTGTACAGGGCCGAGCAGAGCAGTGTCTCCACCGGGCCTGTCAAAACCACTGAGCTGTAATGTATATCTGGAGGTAGCACTAGTTCAAGAGCCATTTGTAATGTTCTGGAGATGGTTAGGTTTAGTTCTAACATTAAGTTTTGCACACTGAAAAGGAAAACCCATCTAAAATGGACCAGCTGGCACCAATTTTTCATTGAAAAAGAACACAGTTGTGTGAGCCAGTCACAGATTGCGCTAGTGTCTAAAATTCTATTTTCTGCCTAATTTGTTGTCTCCAAGACAATTTATATGACATAAAAAATGCTAAATCTTACAATCTATCAGTTTTCAACTCGCTTCAACTACGTCCATTTTGATTACAAAGACCGGTGACAATTTTAACATGGGGATGGAACGGCTAGCTCTATCAATAGTCAAAGGTTGTAGTCAATTGATGAACAGGGCATAGCTTATTTAATAAGTAGCCAATCAATGAGTCAAAATGTATTAATTTGTTATTCCTTTTTCATTATTTTATATTTCTACCTTAAGTTGCACAGTTGCGTAACTTTTCAATTAACACGTAGTTATATCTATGTCTCAAACTCGAATCACTTTTGAAATTCAGCGCTGTCTCAGCGAGTACAAAATCAAAATTTTACATTCGGTAACCACTGTATAGTACTTGAACACTATACATGAACCTCACAAACCAAACTAGTGCTACCTTCAGATATACTATCTAGCTCAGTGGTCAAAACGTGTTCGACAACTACCTCAATATTCCAGGATAACAAATCTACCACTTACATTTAAAAACACTAATGATAGATCAAATCCATCTACATAGTTCCAATATCAGAATTAAGTGGTAGTAAAGTCATACTAGATACAAACATTTTCAATTCAAAACTTAAATAAACTTTACTTAAGAAAAAAATCCCTTAATTTTCGTTTTGATCAAAATTGGGATGATGAAAAAATGTTTATGGACATTGGTGCTGGCTTGAACAAGTTTCTTAAAAAAATTACTTAACAATAAAACTTCCTTAATTTACTTTTTTATGAAAATTGGGATGACGAAAAAATATTTTTTAAGGACATTGGTACTGGCTTGAACAGGTATATACCCTGTCTTTTGCATCTAAGGGTATAATCTACTCACCTAATGGATTCCTCTTTCTGTGTGTCGCTGATCCGTTACTGCTAGAGTCCCCACCTGGACAGACACACAACACAACATGCCGTTAGACAAACCACAGACACACAGACAATAGGCTACACACAGACAATACACATAGACAGACTATAAGCTCTGACTCAAACATGTTAATACCATGTAAACCAAAATCAAAATGAAAGAATGCATAACATTGCAAGATCTTATCATGTCTGAAAGCGAACCCACATCAGTTTTACTTACAATGCAGAGTTAAGTTCCATTTTGTGGTATCAGATTGAGTATAAAATGATGACAAAGTCTTCTTGTTTCAAAATGTCATAAATCTGCTATGAGCATGGCGATTGAATAGTGATATCTTTTTACAAAATAAAATTTTTGTTGAAATTAGCTACTGACAAAAGTAGCCAAACGTTTCATTGTCAAACGGAAGCACATAAAATGTAAGCATTTAAAATAAATAAACATGTATTACCAATTACCTAAAGGGCTCAACCTCATTGTGTTCATTGTATAACCTTACATAAACAACTCCTTCAAATGAGGAACGCAACCCGCTACACAGCTGTGTCACATTGTTTGCGGAACATTCATGAAGGCAATTATACCTTACGATTTTATGAGCCTTGTTCTTTTAACTACGTTTTATATTGTAAATATAAAAATTTTCTAGTTATTTTGCCAAAATATTGTTAAAAATAAAACACAGCCTTCTTTGAAAATCTTAATCGTAGTCAAAATTGTTATGTTAAAAATTGTACGGAAACTTTAATGTTAACTCTGTAGCAGTGTTTGTTTTGAAAATGTTATAAAAATGTTTGTCATTCATACGTTTTTGGAATGTCAAAAACATATCCGTGGAGAAATCTATGTTGTATGTATACTGCGTTGATATATTACATTAATTTGCAAGAAAACGTTTGAAACCCAGTGGCCAGGGTTTCAACTCTACATATCGGACGTTTAAAGAAACTCCCAACCCCATACAATGAATGCTAACCATACGTTCACAAAAGCTAAATAAACAACACGAAAACACTGCAACCAAAAAATTTAGCCAGATAAAATTTAAAAGAACTGACAGTTATAAAAATAATTTTAGTTTGTGATTAATAGTAGTATCAACATTTTGATTGCCTTCGACACGAAATTCAGCACATAAGGTTGCCAGTTCGATCCTGATTTAAGTGAAAGTCATAACTGGACCCAGCTGGAGATCATTGGGATTTTACTACATTATCCTGACTATAAAATAAATTATCAAGCGGATTTTAGTCAGTAACAAAGCTGTCTTTTTACCCTCATTCATCCTAATCATAAAATACGCAGCATGGCGTGTCGACGTCGTATCTAATCATTTATAATCCTGTCACTCCAGGACTTGTCAAAATTCGGAACTGTACCGGACAAATCTTCACGAATCTTCACAGAAACGTAGTATAGTATGTGCTTGTGTTGTGGTGGTGGAGTAGTGGCGTAGTGCGCGCGGCAGGAGCGAGGAGTGCCCGCCTACTTGTTGCCCATTTCTGGCGCGCGTCGTCCTACCTCACTGGGCATTACGTTGCAAGAAACGACCTCTGCTGTACACTGTTTGGGATACACGGAGTCAAATTTCCTTCTACATCCTTGTACTTTTCACGACATACACGACGCAATCCATTCCGACTTTGTCGGTCACCGATGCAGTGTTCAAGTACGCATGGTTGTATAGCTGCAGCTTCTTTCGGTGTCGATTTGATGGGATATTTAGATAGATACATCGAGTTGCTGAAGTTCAGTCTATAGTCTCTCACACAGTTTATCATTTAGCATAACAGAACAATGCAACTAGTTGCAAAACAACATATAAAAGCTTGCCCAAATGAGGAACGAGAAACTGAAGGTATGTTCACTGATAGAACAGAAAACTGTATGGATCATAAACATAAACAAATTACGTCACCTTGTAAAAATGTTTCTATTAGCATCTAAATGTAACAGCCAAAAAAGCTCAAACCAACTCATATTTTAAGGTTATATAAATAAAACTGTTTATGTATGATCCATACCGTTTTCGGTTCCAATATCCGTGAATTTCTTTTCAATTTTCCTAAAATAAATACTCCAAGTTATTTTGTTGAACATTGCATAATCTACTAACATTGTTGTATGCGCGTTTCATTAATATTCCAAAACGGCTCGTCGTAGGTCGTTTCCCAACGTCACTGTATCGCTTCAGCTGTACACAACTACAACATGCAATCAGCTGTGATTCACCGTCAGCTGGTCCAAGGTCGGCTTGTTTTGCTGCATCAACAATAGCGAGATCAGCTGTGCTCCACGATCAGATCCAGCGAACCATCGACTATTGGATACTGAAGAAGAAATCCCATCTGTAAGAACCAGCTGTCACTAATTTTTTATCCAAAAAGAAGGATGTATGTCACAGCGTTAGTAAATTGTATTTTCTTCCTTATTTTTTGTAAAAAAAAAACTGGCGACAACTTTTAAGTGGGATGTAATGTCTAGTTCCATCAATAGAGAAATATTCAAACTTCAATAAGGAAGACGCAGACAAATCTACCCCAAAATAAAAATACCCCGTTTTATTTGTTTTAACTATTGAAGTAACATGCTCAATGACGTATTCAGCCAGTTTGTTTCCGAATTATCACACTATAAATTTAAAAAATACTCCTCAACCATGTTTACCACTAAAATATCGAAATACCCGAAACAAACTAGACAATTTCGGCGGCCTACTCGGGACTAGATAAATGATACTTCTAGGGCGGACGGGAAGGTTAAGCGATTAGCCCACGACTGGCCAAAAACTACAACGATCCACAGAACCTATTGGTCACCTTGGCCTTGGGAAGGTCAGTAGGTCAACACGGTGGGCAGACCGGCCCTCCTACCTACACCGTTCACACGTCAATTGACACAACAGTGCGATCCCTAGTACTATACTTCCTAGTTTTGTTTTGGCACCTGATAAAAATAGAAGACAACGTTCCTACAAATCAATCAACGGAATATGTAAACAAAACCAATTTTTAAACTGTTTAGTTTCAACAGAAGAATGAACACTAAATTTTGATTTACTACTAATTATAAAGTACTTACCCTCGATTAATGTGATTTTTGAGGTTTGTAAAGGTTTGGGGAAGGGTTTTAGCTACTTAGTTTTTGAAAATATCTAAGGAATGATGATAGTATTTCAAAAATAGAGACCATTCAAATAAGATTAGAAGTTATAGATTCACTACACTTTTATTCTAGTCCAATTGCCCAGATATATAGGTGTAGTAAGGGTTATTTTCCTCCTGTAAGGCTCCTCGAAGTATATTATAGAAGAATCGATACTTAAGCCTTGCTCTAGGTCTGTGCACATCTTAATACTCGTAGCCTGAACATTCTGAGAGGTTTTAGTAAACGAAAATACCTTGGAGGGTAAAATTTCCCTCAAAGTGCTAAATCTATAAGTATAAAAGAGGATGTTTGTATATATATTTGTTTGTTTGTTTGTTTGTTTGGCAGTGATAAACTCAGACACCGCTGAACCGATTGCCACGAAACTTGGTACATACGTGTGGAATGTCATGGAATAGGTTTATACACCATCAATTTCGTGATCCGTCCAATCGGCTCCGCCCCAGTGGCTCTGGAGTTTCCCATGTTAACCTTATGAGAAATGGAATTAATGAATCTTAACAGCTGTTTCAATGAAACAAGTTGGTTCTGTTCTATGATGTTCAATAGCATTAAAGTTACAAGGATTACCAACAGGGTGCAGCACTATTATTTCTTTTACATTTATGACAACAGCTAATTTGCAACCAAAAGGTGAGTGAGCGTAGCGAACGAATTTCAACCTGGAGGCGAGTTAGCGTAGCGAACGAGCTAACCTGAAGGCAATTGAGCGTAGCGAACGAGCTAACCTGAAGGCAAGTGAGTGTAGCGAACGAGCTCCAACCTAAAGGTGAGTGAGCGTAGCGAACGAACTTCAACCAGGACGTGATTGAGCCATGCGAACGAGATCATCTTGAAAATTAAGAAGTTAAACGGGGCAAAGCCCGCGGGATTATAAATAGTCAAAGGCAAGACAACGTCTGCCGGGTTCAGCTAGTGCAGTATAAGTTGTTTCCCAGTCCCCTCAATGTTAGTACCGGTATCCTCATTAAAAATAAATATAATAACTATTTACTGCCCAATATGCATGTATGAAATATGACATGAATTGTCAAACGTTTGTATTTCAACCGAGCTTTTGAAACTTAATTGAATCTGTAGAAATGTACTCATGATTTTTAAGAGACACTTGGGTACGCATTATGTTTGGATGGAAATTACAATACAGTATTATAGCTTTGACTATTAATACAACAACTTCTGTATCCAATAGTCAATGATTATAGAGATGATGAAGAATTGTAGAATGCCTACTTTTGCTTCTGACTGATCCAGCTGATTTTAGTCATCAACGTTATGATGTCAATTTCTATCGCATAGTGATAACTGAGGACACTTAAGTTTGAACGTATGTAGCCCGATTACGTTAATGCTCACAGATATGTCTCAATATGGAATCAACGATCTCGGAAATGGTAGGATACTGAATCTACTCGTCCAGGAGGATATTTATAAGCCCATATACTTAGGAAACAATCTATAAATTTTACCAAATTAATCAAACCATAGATAAATCAGCATGGTTTATCCATTTCAATGGCATTCGTTGAAATAGAATCGGATTGGCGAAATGTTAATCGCCATCACTAACGTGATACCACTTAAAACAGCACGTACGGTAATAATGTCCCAAGAGTTATGATCAACACTATTATTATACACACGGTGTGACAGTACGTATAAAACCAACAATATACGCGTGCAGAATACATAATTAAACATTGGAACACGGCAGTCTCTGGACCACGCACGGCCTCGACCTACGCCACAGTAAAATATCACCAACACCGACAACCATAAGTGATTCATTTGTTGAAAACCTCGCGTGAGTGGATGCCGAGGTAAAGTTCACCGCCTCACCTGTCCAA